AAACATGAACTATCTATGTTACTAATGTATCAACATTGAATAAGTACACCTTCAAATGCATGTGAACAATAGCAAATTCATTTGTAAATCTTAAAGAATTGATAAATTTTAAGATTCACCATTGGAAAATTCCAATCCATCGGCAACCTTACAAGAAATTTGAGCTACCAACAGCTGTTAAGTCCTGAAAATTGTGCAATACTTTTTTTATATGTAAAGAAATAACTTATTAGACAAATATAGTATCCGACACACTGAAACGATGAGCAAACTTTGTGCTAAAGGTAACATTTCATACTCATAAAAAAATCTCTCTTCTCATATGTTGCATGGTATAACAAATTTCTTAGAAAAAGAATACTAACAATTATAATTGGATTAACAAATTTGTAAATGGCAAGTGTGTTAATAGAATGTAGCTTACTGTTCTAGAAGCAGTTTACCATGATAGATGAAAGGTAGCACAATATAACAGCACAATAAACAGTGATACAATAAGCTGATGATATAATTACATGTATCAAATGATCCATCATTCTAATTGATCATACTAAGTTTAAGACCTTGAGATCATCAGGTGTCTTGTACGACTTAAAATAATTCACCAGAACTTTAGCATATATTAAGTAACATCGCTAAAACATTCAAGATATGTAAAAGCCTAGTAAATAGCATTTTAATTTACTTAAATATTAAATTAATTTCAATATGGTGATAAGTGTAGATTGAACAACAATGTCAGCAATTCTTCCCACTGAATAAAAAGATCAATTTCTAAAATCCTTGCTTCTATAAAAGAAAATAAAAGAGAAAAACCTTTTTCCTCTATATCCAAACTCTACATCTGATATACAAAATGGTTAAAACTATTCAATACATGTGTATTCATATGTTAAATTAACATCATCTACATTGTACATGCACTGGTATAATTATATATTCAATGATATCAACAAAAATTACATGCATTACATAAATGTCCAAAGCACCTATAAGTTTCGTTAACAGCTTAAATGGATACAGCGTTACATAAAGAATTTGATACAACCTAAGACATACAATAAGAATATTCCTTTTAAAATACAAACAACTGATAAATGTGCAGGACGAGACAGATTTCATAAAACAAATATCACATGTAAGTTTCTATTGTGCAAGTTATTTACATTTTACAAGTAAAGTACACATATCACAGACAAATTAAAGATGTGTTTGCTCGACTATAGAATTATCAGGAGGAGGTGGAGGTGGTGGCATGGGCCGAGGAGGCCGAGCTATTGTATGTCTATTTAAGCTGCTATGAGAAAGCTTATCTTGTGGATGCTGAAGCTGACTATGGTTTAATGCCCCATTGTCGGGATGTAACCCTGTATTAGGGGTTAGACTACCTGTAAGTTTTTCATTGTCCATATGGTGAAGAGGTGTTCCTGGTATTGTAACAGGGGCTCCTGTAGAAGCTGATCGCTGGTGCCCTGGAGGAACAACAGGAGGTGGAATTTTCGGTCTGTCACCTTGGTTGGATTGGGAACCAGACTGAAGTGAAGAAATGCGCTCTGGTGGATTTGGTCGATCTGGTGGTAAAGTTTTCTGTTTATCAGAACGAGACAAAGTGCTTGGAGAGCTATCACCTTGTGGTGTTAAAGCCTGTCTTGGCCAGGTCTGGTACTGTGATGCCTGCTCACCAGGTCTCACGCTTGCTGATACAGCTACAGAATATGGTCTCTCTGGGGGCGGAGGAGCAGGTTTTCTTGTCGGTCTCCGAACCACGGACTGGAAGTCTTCACTGTGTAAACAGGAATACATGCTATTAAATATACCAGATGTGTTTGCAAAGGATTTTCTTTATTTAAAAAAAATAAATGTATCTATTTGGCAGAAGAATTAATGCAGAAATCTTTAAGCTAAGTTATTGTTCAAAAGCTAATTTTTTAAAAGCAAAAGCAACAAGAATTCTACTATAAATAAAACTTGAAATTTATTAGTCATGCTGACTGACAAAAGGAAAATAGAAGATTGTTTCAGACCATAAACATCTTTTAGCATGTTTCACATATATGAACCTCCATGCCAAAATACAAATGATATAAATGTTTAGTATAATTCTTCCACCAAATAAATTGTTAGTAACATAAACATAGCTAAAGAAATTCCTTTACAAAGACAACCCAAATTCCTTTACAAATAAGCAGACTATAGTTCTGCTTTAGTCATTTATACTGCTGTTAAATCTTGTGAAGTGATATCTGAATACAATTACTTATAATGCAGAAGCACGGAAATACTTTGTATTTAAATTGGAAATCAACCTCAACCCAAAAAATGTCTATAGTTACATGCTAAAAATAACTGTTAAGTGAAAAGTGTCATACCATGGAAATACCAAGAACTGTTAGACAAGAGATAAAATATCAAGGTCAGCTTATGGTCAGTTACAGTGACAATGCTAGAAGCAAGTATAACATATGCAACAAGCAGTTTTACCTTTCTGCTAAAGGTGCTCCTTGTAAATTTGAACTACTGACAGCAGGTGATACTGATGGTGACCTTGACCCGGAGGCTGGAGTCACTGGACTTCCTGTATCCTGATTGGCTGCTGGACTAGAGTGAGGGGTTCCATGGGAGGAGCTAGACTGGTTGGAACCAGTTCTTTCCAGTTGGGCATGATCATGTGATTGCGTTTCTATTGGTGTTTTTGGAAACGGAGGAGTGTTACTTTCCTGGGGTGTTACACATTGAAAGTTGATATCTGAAATATATATTACATATATTGATTAATAATCTTAGCCATACCCTTAGATTATCAGACACCTTTCACAATATAAGCAAATCTTACATTCCTCGTGTATTGTTTATCATAAATAGTAAGCTATTAGAAATTGTAATGTTGAACTTATATTGTATATATTTTATGAAGCTGTGACATATTTTTTTATGATGCTGTGAAACTTTGGTGTCTACAGATTTTGAAAGAGATGATTTTCTACCTGTATAGCTTTAAAACAAAAGAAAGGCAGCATTTTATATTGTAAATACATGTTATGCACAAGCTCTGTATTCTAGCTCTTTTCTACACATTTACACAAGTTATTTTACAAGCTCTGTCTAATCATAATTCAGCATATCTGTATAAACCTTCTCCTGCTACACTGTCTGGATGTCTAACACTCGTTTTGAATAAGTCCATTAATTACTTTAGGGAGTTTACAATGAAATTTCAAAAGTTGGTCATCAAACAGTATAAAACCTAGCTTGTAGGAGCTGGCCTAGCAAATGTTGTATTATATGTAATTCTAACACGACCCTCATTTTTCCCTATTGAACATAGAAGAACCGAAAGTGTGCGTTATTGTGCTATAAAATCACTGTTTGACGTTCTATATTTAGACATGTGACGTAATCATTATACATGTGACTATAAAATCCGACACACTGACAATAAGTACGGAAACAAGTCAGGCCCAATTTTGCTTAATATCAGGTACGGCAGCATTTATTTGTTGATGTCGTGTTAGAATCAAAATAATATATCCAAATCGGTGATTTTATCACTGGACAACATCACTGTTTGTTGTTCAGATGCGCATCATTATATCACTCGGGCTACGCCCTCGTGATATAATTCCTCGCATCCGAACTCCAAACAGTGATGTTATTGAGCGATAAAATCACAGTTTGTGATATATTATTTCTTAAGTATTAAAACAGTAACACAAATATATCTTTCAACATAAATCTAACTTTTAACATCACCTATCTTTTCACTTAAATCTATCTTTTTAAAATAAGCTATGAAAAATCTTCTTTCCGTTGTGCTGCTAAAGTGTCATGTGTTTTTTTTCTGTAATGATAAAAAAATGGTTGAACCCTTTCAAAGTTTGTAGCCTATAACAAAGATTGTGGGTTTGACCTATTGAATCAACTTTGTGAGAGCACAAAGTTACCTTAACACACTGTTGTTTATGTTGCTTAGTCTGGTCTATATGTGATAACAACTAAATTACCATACTAATACTCTCACTTAACGAACTGTCCATGTTAAAACAATTTATCTTTGTCAATCTTTCATTTATACAGTACTTATACTATCATATACTATAACATGCTAGCATAGTAGAAATTCTTCACATGTATTACATGTATCTTATAATGTATAGTAAAATAAACAATCTTGTTTCAAAGTAAGAGAATATCATTCTACTGTCTATTTAAAAACAAGCACAAGATTCCAGCAGAAAATATAGTACAGTAAATATAGAATACAATACATATCCCAGTGAAATATAAACACTAATATTTCCATTCCAATTGTCTTCACATATTGGAACAATTTGTCATAAAATAAAATATTCCTGGCATCAAATCAAAATGATCAGATCAAAATAATAATCATTATATATGTATAGTAATGGTATTTGCCTTTCTATATGCATAAATTTCTCTAAATTCATAAGGTTTCCCCCCCCCCCTTTTTTTTTAAAGATTTAAACTGTATGTTGAAATAAACAACAACACAAACTGTGCATGTTTTCTAACAAGACATGCTGACTGTTGTACACAATACAACAAAATACTATAAATTAGTTATCACAACTTATTTTGATTGTCTACAGTTAGTTAATTGATACAACATATGTAACTTTGTGGGTAAAGTCTCAAACAAAGGGTTTCTGATTCTACCATAATCTGGGGTATGTGCAACCGTTCATATCCAAAGAATAAAGCAAAGCAAGCAAAGTAGGAAAATCTTTTATTTCAATCACATTTGTTCATGCAATACAATCTACTAGAAACTGAAATTTGAAGGCTAAAAACAGAAGAAATATTAAATTTTCTATCATGACATTTACAACTCTAGTGGAAAGAAAATCAAACTTCCATTTAAAGAACAAAAATTAAAGACTAGAAGCAAATATTTCACTACAAAGACATCATAAGCAAAATTTCAGAAATTTAGTTCTTTTATCTGATTCTGAATATAAAAAAAAAAAAACAGTCTAAATATATCTGTTTTAAAATCTAAATTAAAATTCCAAATAAACTAATCCGCTTTCATTGTAAATGTCAAAGAGATTTTCAAAAACTGCACTTTCTTTCTGAAGATGCAGTGTTGTACAGTAAAGTTGGAATGTGTTTAGCAAAACAGTGAAAGAATTGTATACATTGTTTTACATGCCTTCTATCAAGCAAGGTAAGGTCAAGGTCAAATCAGTGTCCTTTTTATATACACACACACAAGGTCAAATTGGATATCGAGATATTTCAATATTTTTTTAGCCAAAACCATAATTTTGGAGGAAAAATTTTCTTTTCTTCAATTTATCAGTTTGAGTATTAAAAAAAAACTATTAGAATAGAAATTCTGTTTGAAAATACAGTGTAATCAATTTCCAAAAATAAATGCAAATATACTCTTGAAAAGCCAACAAATTGCAAAATTTTTATTGCTATCATAAGCTGTCAATTTGATATATATATATATATACAAAAAAAGAAAAATTAAACAAGCTCAAGGCAACAAAAAGGGAGAAAAAAAACAAGGCTCACTTATACATCACAAAAACATATGCATGATATCACATACTGACCCTGATTTGACCTTGCTTGACCATTTCCTGAGATATTTCCCATAATGCAAAAGTCAGAATTTCCTGTACTGTGAAGTTGGTCATCCCATATAGATCTGACCGTATTCAAGTATTTTGGCCACGTACCACCGTCACCTAGCGATTGAAGAGCAAATGCTGTGCTGTACATGTCTGAATGAACATTGTGTCCAGAAGGTGATGATGGGCTTGTTGGCTGTAAATGAGCTGGTTTTGCATCTATTCTAGGCTTAGGCGCTTGTCTTTTTATAGACGGTTTATGTTTAAGACGTTCATTGGGGTCAAATGTAATGATGGGGTTAGTACGTTTGTTAGTGACACTCGAACTGGGTGATTGGAATGCATTAGACTGGCTCAAGTCACCTCTAGCAGTAAGATAGTGGTCCACACTGTCCCTTCTCTCTAATGTATCAGCATTCTCATACTCCTTATTGTGTACAGAGGCTTCAGATACACTTGTTGATTCACTAGATGATGATACTGATTCCTCACTTGTTTTACGACCAGGTACAAGATCTTTCAGTTTGGACTGTGTCCCAGAGGTGCTTGGTTGAACAATAGCTACAGACTGCGAAATAGATGGCTTTGGTGATGTTATGGGAGGAGGCTTTGAAGTTGTCATGGGAGGAGCTTTTGTAACAGCACTGCCTTGTTTTTGTATTAAACCATCACTTTGTCTGCGTTTACGAGCAGGTGCTTGATCTCTCTGAGTTGCTTGAAAGTCAGCAGCTATTCAAAACATTACAAGATATAATATAATAATCATTTTCATACGACCAATTACTACCTTATGTATCTAAGCACTTTAAAGACCATATCATTTATGCCTATGTTTGAAATGATCTCATTTTCTGTTTTCAACATAATTGATTCAGTTTCAAGATGCAGCAGTGGTAAATAATTGCTAAAAAGCACACACTGTTTAATATATGAGCGGCTCAGCCGCGTCATGACAAACCCTACGTAATGCAATTGCGACCAGCATGGATCCAGACCAGCCTGCGCATCCGCGCAGTCTGATCAGGATCCATGCTGTTCGCTTACAAACTCTATTACAAATAGAGAAACTGATAGCGAACAGCATGGATCCTGATCAGACTGCGCGGATGAGCAGGCTGGTCTGGGTCCAAGCTGGTCGCAAACGCATTACGTTGGTTTTGTCATGACGCGGCTCATATACATGTTGTACAGATATGAATAAATCATAATGTTACACAGATTCTTTTTAAGCATCTCTATAAACTAAAATAAGACTGTTTACTATAAAGCTGTCAATGATAAAACTATCTGCTTTTCTATAAATAACATCAACTACATACGGCCTCATATATTAATACCAAAGAAAAATTAATGCTGCAATAGTTACAATAAAAATTCCCTGTTTCTTCAATGAAAATGGTAAACTTTTCTTACTAACACAGCTGTTTTATTCAACAATTCAAAAATTGATTGTGAACAGATTAAATGTTTCCATGGTTATATTAAAGTTTTGTATATATTAGGCACCAAAAGTTCACTTACCTCAAAAACAACATTTAACACATGCCAACTCACAGAGCAGCAATTTTACCTATACACTTTAATAATTACATTATCTAAACACTAATTGCCTCTACTTTATATTGTATTTTAATCTGATATCCTTATCCTCTTATACATACATCACTAATTATTATTTCTTGTTTCTTTACAGAATCAATTTATAATTTTAAATGTTCCTTATCAAAGAAATAGCGCAACATCATGGACTTACTGTCATACATTAAGGCAACGTAAGAATCTGTATTGAACATTTTTCCCACCAACAATAACATCTTTTAAAATGTGATCAGAACTATACAGTGATATAACAAAATAACAACTATTTTATACCTACTGTTCCATTACATCAAGGCCATATCATATACTATATATCAGTATACTATATATCAGTATTTTAAGACATGAATAAATGTACAAAGCTAATATCATGAAAATGTTTGTGGTATTTCTTAAGTTCTTATAATTAATATTATGTGAAACACTAATCAGGAAAGTTTGGACTTAAGGAGTTATTGCCGTTAGAAAAAGGGCTTACCATTATTTCATCATAATAGATAATTTTTTGTTTTTTTTTTTTGTTTTGGGTTTTACGTCACAGCGACACAGTATAGGTCATATCGCGACGTTCCAGCTTTACTGGTGGAGGAAACCTCAGGTGCCCTTCCGTGCATTATTTCAGGCACGAACGGGCACCTGAGTAGAACCACCGACGTTTCGGAAGCTAGCTGGATAGCTTCCTCACATGAAAGAATCCAAAGTCCCTGTCGGGATTCGAACCCACAGCCGTGAGGGGCAAGTGGTTTGAAGTCAACGATCTTAACCACTCGGCCACGGACGCCCCATAATAATAGATAATAAATGATTTGTCAATTGGTTATTTCAAGAGTAGTACCATATTTCTTATAAAGCAATATATATCCATAAACTTTATAAAGATACAGTGTATATATGCATGTATAATGTATGTACATACCTCCAGGAAAGAACCAGTCTGCATGCTGAACTATTAATTCTGTTATCAAACTTAATATGCCTGTATTCATCATATTTGGGCTGAAAACAACAGTTAATTTTAAAACATAATAAAAATAGCAAGACTTAATATCAGTAATTGTAAATGGAACAAGAGCTGTCCGTAAGACAGCGCGCTCGACTTTTTTATTGCTTGCCAATAAAAAAAGTTTTTGCAGTAAAAGGCAATACAAGAATCTCTGTATTTTTAAAGTGAACTAGTTGTTTGATACCCTTGAATATTACAGCAATGTTTATATGACATAATTTATGGTAAAGTGAACAAGTGGATAGGAATGAATTTTTTTAGATTTTTTAAGTTTTTTAGTGCTTGCCTATAATACAAAACATTGACAGTTAAGGGCCATAATTCAAATAAAATCTTTGACAGAATTACCTTCTCCTGGACATGTTTGGGAATCATGATTGTAAACAAGTATTCCAACTTTCAAATTAATATCTCAAACAGTTCAGTCAAAAAGTGGACTGGTACTAAAAACTTAACCAAGATTCTAAGTCGATAAAAGGCCTTAATTTTTTAAAACAAATCCTTGACAGAGTTACCTTCTCTTGCGTACAGATGGGGGTAATGATGTGAAATAGCATTAAAAGTTTCAAAGCAATATCTCAAAGGGTTAAGGCAATAAGTGGATTTTACCCATATTCAATGTATTTTCTAAGTCAAAAAGGGGCATAATTCTGTCAAAACCTTGACAGAGTTATGTCCTCTTGTCTGTTGATGAAGGTCGTGATGGTAAACAAGTATGGTCAGTTTCAAAGCAATACCTCCAATGGTTTTGAAATAAAGTGAGGTGGTACAAAAAACTTAACCAAGCTCAATACACTTTCTAAGTCAAAAAAGGGCCATAATTCTGTCAAAAACCTTGACAGAGTTATGTACTCTTGTCTGTAGATGGAGGTTATGATGGTGAACAAGTATGGTAAGTTTCAAAGCCATACTTGTAATACTTCTGAAATAAAGTGGGGTGGTACGAAAAACTTAACCAAGGTGTGACGCCAACGCCGACGCCGACACCGACGCCGGGGCGAGTAGGATAGCTCCCCTTTTCATAGAAAAGTCGAGCTAAAAATGCAAATCATCAACTTATTTTATATTCTTATAATGATTCACTGTTCCAAAACTAAACAGCTGCCTTAACCATATACTTAACCATATTTGGTGGCATTTTATCTATTTTTATATTTAAAAGTATAACCTTGATTTTGCTTCACAATTGTCTTTGAAGTACTGACAACTCTTCCCTATTTTTTTAAACAATAGAGAAAAACAGGCCTCTTTAAAGATATAACAATTAATCATTTTATCTCATCTCATATTATACAATTTACTTCCCTTTTACACTGTACCTAATGAAGAGAGAAGACATGTTAGTATACAAGGAAATAAACATACCCACTATCTCCTTCTGACCAAATGAGATTTGGGCCTATCACAATTGCTATATTGCCTGGTGTCATTTTGTTCACTTCTGACTTCTCTGTCAACTTTGACAAAAATTTTATTAAGTACCTGAAAAAAGGATAATGCAACACTGAGTTTGAATGACTGAAATTTACAACAAGAAATACTTCATCATTAACAGGAAATCCACTGAGATTTTTTGACATGACCAGTCCAGAAATATTTTTTTCAATATTTTCATACTATTTGAGGCAGGTCTATACCATTAACATTTTCTCTTGTTGGGTGATTTTTCAAGTTAATTCTGAGTATATTCCTTTATCAACGTTTGCATTTTTTGCCAATTTAACTACCCCATTTGATCTATAAAGGATACCAAATTTTATGTCTCTAGGCTTCTGGACTCTCAGTCCTTTTATAAGGAGACTCAAAATAAATAGTTCAAACTATATCCATTATTAAACGATCTGAAAGATAAACCATATTATAGTTTACAACATAATGACATACCTAAAATTATCATAATTTGGTTTTGGTAATCTATCTACAACACACCACAATGCTTGTAATCTCTGGTCTTGAGGCCTGAAACAAATAAACCCCATTAGATTGTATCACAAAAACATACTTCTTTAAATGTAATGCTACATCAGGTTTATATTTTCTTACAAAACATATTCTAACAGACTAGTACCATAAAAATTTGCAATATCTTCACATCTATGGTAACTGAATTTATTATTTGCTTTATAACATTGCCATTTTTTAAATGTTTCATAAACCAAACATGTTTAATACCCCTACTTTAATCACTACTGAAGCTGTAGATTTTAACATCATATTTATTTTTATCCATACTTCTATAATATGACACAATAAATTAAATGGTAAACTTTGAAAAGCAAGTCCTAAACAATAAATAGTTTACTGATGAACTGCTGTCCTAAAAATACTAATAAAACAGGTAAACTTTGTCCTAAAGTAAATTTATCATATTGATAAACTGTTGTTTTAAGATAAATTGAATTTTTGTTAAACTTTTATTAGTTTATAATGTTCAAAAATAGATGTACATTTGTAATTGTTTTACAGCATGTTAGATGCTACTCACCTGATGAAAGTAGTGCTGAACATGATATTATTTGTCATTAAAGTAGCAAAATGTAAACAAAATAGTATTTTGTCTTCCATACAAAATACTTGATAACTATAAATATACAAATTGTCAGAAGGCAACAGAGGCAAAAGATGGTTCAGGTAATTGACCAATGAGAAACTTTTTAAACCAAAAATAAAGAAGCTGTTAAGAAATAAAAATAAGTGTAGAAATAAAAATAAGTGTTTCTGGGGCATAATTGGCATTTAATCTTGATATTAAATCTTCTTAATACACACATTGTGTTAATTTGATATTATAATTCACTTTAAAGTCATTTACTATTGTAAGATTATACAGCCATACATTATACAAGGAAGAAGAAAACAGACTTACACTGTCAACAATGTAAAATGTAAGTAAAACTTAAAAGGTTTAAAAGATCACTAAGTTTCCCACATTTTCTATCACAATAAAAATGAAAACGTAGATCATCCTTCTACTTACTTTTGAGCTGCAGCCATGAAATCAGGGAAGAGTTTAAATGTCAGCAAAGGTTCAGGAAGTTCTCTTAAATACTGTTTGAACGCCCCTAATTACAAAAAAGAAACTTAAGTTTATTTTTCAAACACGAAAAAATCAGTAAACCATAAATAATAACAATGTATGAATACTAAATAAAATTTGTAGGTGAATATAGTAAAATGAAGCTTTATAAACAGCAGATTTTTTTCATATTAAAATAATCTTCTCAAATATTACCAACATTTCTACTTTATCAAAATAAAACACTAGTAAAGGGAACCACTGAAAACAGGATTTTTTATAGACATTAATCAGCAACATGAAACATGGTTTGTGTAACATACCTGCTACTGTATGAGGATCTAATTCTCCACTGTCCTCAAACTCTATACCTGCATCAAATGATGCCTAAAATGTCATAAAATACATCATTATACATGTATTATCAAGATATTACCTATATGTATTTTGTTTTTCTTTAATTCAGTGGTACATAATTATATGCAAAAGGATATTACAGTTTGTACAATAAAGCATCCATTTTAAACTCTCGTATTAAGAAATACATCATTATCTGTGGTATACAATGTTAAAAGTTATTACAATTGAAATCGAAGAAATCAATATTAAAATCACTTTATGGCACCTTTATGAAAACTTGTTACCAAAATGTACACAAAACAAGACTACTGGATGCATTACCAATGCTTGTCTGTAAAGGGCAATAACTAAACAAGAATTGAGATTGGAAACAGACAAATGCCCTTTCAGGTGAAATAGGTAAAGGACAAAAAAATGGGCATAACTCAACAAGTATAACTTTCAGAATAATGCATAATAAGCAAGTATTCCTGTAAAAGTTAAGGGCTTCATTAAAGCTTTTGCACGAATACCACAACAATGACGATGACAACAATGACCCAGTAATAATATCTCAACCTTTTCTTTACAATAAAAATGATAAAAATGACCTAGTTACATCTATTCTATGAATATATATTATTCATCTATAAAATATTGGTGAATTTAAGATGTAAACCAACCTTTAACTTTTTTACTTTAGACGCCATCCCAGCAATTCTAAACAAACCCTATATAAGTAAAAAAGTATCTATGTTAGTCATATAAATAGGTGAATCTTGTTAATATCAATTTTCCCATGCTTGAAATAACACCGGTCTTTTAATATAATTGATTCCATATAAGACCATTTTTAGTACTTAAGATAATAAATAAACAATGGTTATCTATTCAAATATTTAGAAAAATTTAGACAGCTTGACTTTTTGCATGGCTGCCAATATATAATGAATAAACACAAAATTTGATTACAACTTTTTTTAAACCTCAATATAATTCATTTATTTAAAACAATGTGAATACATTACCTCTTCTTCTAATCCGACATCGAGTAGGAAGCAGACACAAGCCTCTAGCACCTGTGCTATATCTCTATTAGTTACTCTTAAATGTTCCTCTAAAGCAACACCATACACTGGCTTGATAGGATTACAGCTGAGTGATTCTCGCATTTTTGGTATCATTGTCTCTATTATGGCTAATGCATGCTGATGATAACTGGCTTGAGCTTCTAATAACTGAACAAAATATTCAGGACATTAACAATGATAAAATAAAATCATGGACAATGCAAACTTCTTTAATTCAATTATACTCTAATAGGAGCTGCAGTGCCAGCCCGGTTCACATCATGATGGATTTTTTTCAGATAAAATATGTCTTGGTAATTTGATGGTCAGGTTTTAAATTGGTAAGAGATATATAATTATAATACAACATCTTTTAACCCTTACAATACTAAATATCTTAAATGGACTTTAAATCTAGATAAAACCATTTATCATTTTTAGGGAAAATTTTAAAATTAATATAGGTGGACAAGCCGACTGAACTCAGTTTGCAGAAGTACCACAGGTAAAATCAGTTGCTGGCAACTGGCTAAGGGTTAGAGTATATGATAATAGATGACATGCAATAATCACTTACATTTAACAAGTTTTGACTATGTTCTGCTTCTTTAGATATAAAGCCAAACATTCCAGTAGTGTAAGCATCCTGAAACATAAATTCTAACACTATCGGAATTTTTTCTATACAAACAAAGAAGGCCCGAAGCGTGCATTATTCCACAACAATGCACTCGCCGTTCTTATAAAATACAAATAATAATAAAGGCAATATAATTCTGTAAAAACAACCTCTTTTTATGGAGCTATTTGGTGTACTTTCTGAATAGTCGATTTTAAAGATGGTGCAGATTAAAACTGACCGATATTCTTCATATTTGTGAGATTGCATTTGCCCTCTTGTGTTTACTTTGCATATAAACTCCACCCTAAATACACGCAGACATAATTGCTTGTAGATAATGATATCATATTCTTAGGAAAATATGCCTGAATGACTATTTTGAATTTGATAATTTTACAGAATTGAAACTGAGATGATATTGTTTAAGCAAATTGTGGATGATGGTGGTTATTTGCTAAACTCACGGTTATTCACATAAACTCACTTCTGTTTAGGTAATCTAAAAACTGGCAGAATTTTCTCTCTCATTTTTTTCCTTAACAAATCATGGGGAGTAACTTCATACATACTAAGCACTTCAGGATTTTTTTATTACACACACAACTGCAGTATGTACCATAGCTAGTCTGACTTTATCAAAATTTATTTTTGTGTTTCTTAAGAATGTCTGTAAACCAATAATGGTATTTTTCTGTACTAATGCAGTAACTCCTGAAATTCAAAATCAATTAAAAAATTCACAGATTGAATGATAAATATGTTTCAACACATGTCATAAAAATATCTTATCATGACTGAGATAAAAAGCATATTAAAATTATATACTGATTTATTGAACTGACCTTTGCTGCTTCTACACGATTCTGAGTATCTTCTAGTTCCGTGTAGAGACTGTCAACCTTCGCTGAGGCAGACACCATATTAACACCTGGAACCTGTGCCTGCTTTACAGCACTATTATGCCTGAAATACATGGTGTAAACATTATGGTATGTATTTATAAATGAACAGTTAAAGAAATAATTATACACATAGATATTGGATTCATAACCCAACTTGAGATACTATAGGATAATTCATTCAACAATTCTCAGTGTTTAATAGTACAAGGGCCATGCAGGGATTTTCAGAAAGAATATATTACAACTAGATTTATTGGTCTCAACCAGTGACCTAGATGATTGTATAACCCTGAAAGTAAGTTGAGTTTCATGTGAATGCTGTCAACATGATTTTTTAAGTCCATATTTAATAACTAAGAATAAAATAAAACAAAAAGCATTCAAATTGAATATAAACATACATGTAGAGATGTTAACTTTTTATCAAATATTTGATAAAATGTCTTTCTAAGTACATGTTCACAATTCTATAAGTATAGCTATTTTCTTTCAAAATTGTTATGTGTTTAGTAACTTCATATTACCAATTTGTGTTTATTTTGTAGAGTTTATGCTCTAAGTGTTTATTGTAATAGTGAATGAACATGTATGCTATTATCATGTTGGTTATGTACATTGTTTGTTCAACTGCTCTTCTATAAGGCTAAGTAGTGAGTAATATTTTCTCCAGTACACTTTCATCTTGATTGTTGTACTTCCTGCCAAGTTCAAAGTGGAATTATCTTCCTCTTACAATGATTGTCTTAAGTTAAAATAAAGACTTTACAGAGTAGTAAATCAAAAAAGTAAATTTATACAACTATAAAAAATATACTACTCAAGGTTTGCTAAGCACCAAGTTTTCCACATAGCATCATACATTCTACATCATATAATGTTATGATACCTACATTGTAAATCGTGTAGTAATGTATCGAGAGTATACCCTGTGTACACATAACCTTGAATGACAGGCCATTTCCACATGCAAGTAGTGCAAACAAGGTGACCCTGTATTTTGATAGTCTTAATTAGACACATACCGACACATGTAGGGTGTTCATTCTTCATTTTCCATTGAAATATTGAACATTTAAGATTGAATAATGGCAAATGCAAATGTTAGAAGGCATTTATCAGACGCAGAGTTGTGGCGGGCAGTTGGTATCTCGACATCGTGAGGTTGGTGAGGTGTTTGGTGTGGACCATATGGTTATCACCCAAACCTGGGCGAGGTTCCAACAGCATGGTACATCTGTTAGACGACATGGTGGTGGCAGAACAAGGGTGACTACTGAGGATGAGGATCGTTTTCTGCTCATCCAGGCAAGAAGAAACCTTTTTGCAGCTGCAAACCAGCTTCGTTCTGACCTTCAAAATGCTTCAGGGGTGCATGTGTCAACACAAACTATACGTACATGTTTGCATGAGAGTGGTTTGCAATCGAGGAGACCATATATATGGATCCCACTGTCTAGAGACCACTGCCGGCTCCAATATGATAGGGCCATGAACCATGTTGGTTGGAGCAAGATGGACTGGCGGCCTGTCCTCTTCACTGACGAGTCAAGGTACTGCCTGGATTACACAGAAAGGCATGCCAGAGAATGGCGAAGGCCAGGGGAACAGTTCCATACAGCAAGCATTGCAGAACACGAGTACTATGGTGGAGGATCAATAATGGTCTGGGGTGGAATCAGCTGGGATGGACATACTGACCTCATCAACAGAGGCACATTGACTGCCTAGCTGTAACAAGATGAGATCCTCAACACCCAGGTAAGGTTGTATGCTGGTGCAATTGGTAATGTGGTCATTTTGATGGATGATAATGTCCGCCGCCATACAGCCAATGTCGTCTCAGAGTACTTGGAAAGACAGGGTATCACTAGTTTGGACTGGCCGGCCCGATCCACAGATTTAATCTAATGAGCATGTATAGAATGAGCTACAGGTCCATATTTCAGCCCATCAGGTCCAGCCAAGAAGCACCCAAGAGTTTTGTGCCGCCCTTGCTGACAAGTGGAATACCATCCCACAAGCCTTCCTAAGAATCCTGAAATGGAGTATGCAACGACAGTGCCAAGCTGTCATTGCCAACACTGGGTTACAAACTCGCTATTAAAGCAAAATTTGTTATGAGTTTTTCACAAATTTTACCATATCCGTCTAAAACACAATTTCATTACAATCATAACAAATCAACATGACAACACATTACAATCGGTAACAAATTCCTTAATGATGTTTATAAATAAGAACTGAAATAAATCTAATATTTGACATACAACATAAGATAGGTACAAAAATACTCTTGGTGCTTAGCAAATTTTGAGTAGCATATTATTAAATAGTGACTAATATTAAACAAATCAAATAAAAAAATCCTAGTTTACAGTATTTACAACCATAAAATTATTTGATAACTTTACCTGCTTTTTGCGGAGTCCATGTCTAAAGTAACTTTACCAAGAGCTTTTTTCAGTTTGCCTATATGTGGAATTTCATTCTGTAAAATATTAATGAAATAGAAATGAACAGTTTGGGACAATAAAAAGCTGATCTTAACATCAAGCAGAAAAGGGGTGGGTGTGAATAAAACTTATTACAATCATCTAGAGTGATAGTATAACCTTTACCTTTTTTATTACTATGAAGAAAATCTAAACAATATTCAAACAATTATTTTTAAAGTGTATAATATAAATGATAATGCACATTTGTGGTGTCAAGATTCAAGCAATAAAGTGAGGAATACTGAAAAATCAAAACCAAAAAATTGATCCAGTGTTCTGGTATTTCATCGGTTAAAAATGACGGTATTTTCTTCATACTAAATCATTTATCAATTCCTCCTGACAATGCTAATAATTGTAAATAAACTTGTCCATTTTTCAATCTGGACAAGGGTTAATATTAAAATAAGTACTGAGTCACTGACTGAATACTGGACATGCATTATTGAATTCATTTTGCTTCTTTGTTTAAATTACTTTAAGTGGTTTGGTCAGTTTTTAAATAAAGTATCATCAAATGACAAAATGTTTCACTACAGACTACAGATTTATATATTTACATGAAACTTGATGCCATTATACCATCATATCAAGTTTTGGCACTTTTATTCTGCTATAATGTTAAACTGTTGTAGCATTTTGATATAAATTGGAACGAAAAATGGCAGGATTTATTAGTTATTACCTCTACAATAGCTTGCAATGGTTCAAGTACATTTTTCTCAACATCCAGTTCATATTGTAGATGTTGTTGAGCTAGTGAATTCTGACAATCTCCACACATCTGATACATCTGTCTGTAAAATCAATATAACAAATGTATTATCAACATTCTATACATAATGTTCCATAACAAAAGGACATGTGCATATAAACAATCATAGTATTTTTACACTACAATTATCATAATTTCTTTTCTTTGGTTATATAAGTGACTTCACAATTTTTTTTATCAATGAATTAAGCTGTTGAGGAGGAGAGCCATCAATGCATTATTTGCAGTATAGGCAAGAACCTGGTAAAAACCACTGACCTAGGCAACAGTGTACTACTAGTAGTTGTATCACAGTAAAAATAAAATCAATTGTATACAGTTAATTCAAAATATCTTAATAATTACCAAATTAATAGACTACAAATTCATATTCATTAATCAAAATATTGTGATTATAAACAAATTTTAAGTAATCAATAACTTGAAAGATCTTTGAAAAAGGACATACCCCATAATGCATTCTGTTCCTAAATAAGAAGCTGACTCGATCATACTGTGCCCAAGACCAGCTTCAGGCATCTTTTTCTACAAAATTTAAATCAGATAATGAGAAAATCATTTCTATATGATAGATAAATACTCAACAAGCAAACGTTTTAAATTGATATCACCTGTCATATGATATAAAACTTCTTAGTATCATATCATTTATGTACAATGTATGTTATTTCAAATATAAATGAAAAGTACCTATATGTAGATACTTATAATGTTACAAAACTCATAATTGGGCAAAATCATGCAAAATACAAAAATTGTTGTTGGCAACATTTTGACTTATTATAAGTGCATTAAAATACAATTATAACATTGAGAAAAGAGATAAGACACTTCCTGCTGTTAACATTAAATGGAAATGGATCAGTCTTGAACAATATCTCTCTTTTTTCCCCTTTTTTAAAAAAAATATTTTTTTTTGCTATGCTCAAATCATCTTGTCATTTACTATGTGCAAACTATAACATTTTTTTCTATGAAAATTGAAATGCATACATAAAAGAGACAGATTTAGTTTCAAAAGGAAGTAAAACTTAAAACTGTAACAACTAAGATTGAACCTTGAGAGAGTTATAGAAACAATGAATGTATGTATACTGTCTATGTGAACAGCTGTTGTTTGATGAGTCATCAAAAACTTTCTTGTTATACGTCATTATACTGAACTTGTACCATTATACATGTATAATTTGACATGCAGGTTTAATATATCACATTTATGTCATTTAAACATTTGTATTATTAGGTTAAATATATACTTTTTATGTATGACAGTCCTGTATTAATAGTATATAACTAAAAGTATGTTTATTTTGCATGTCTTACCCTAGGGCATACAGTGTATGATAATTTTACTAATAGATAACATAAAATTAAAATAAATTACATCATACAAAGCTTAATGAATATAAGAGGAAAAAATATTTTTCATATAAAACTTCTCTGAATTTATAAAGTATTTTCATAAAATATCCAGTAAATCACTGAAATTCAAAGAAACAGTCATAAAACAGCAATTAATATAACAAATTGATAAAATACAGTTCATAACAACCCTGAAAAAAGGCAATAAATTATTGATAAAGTAAAAAGAACATACAAGTCTTTTTTCTGGGTCACTAGTACCAGCTCCCAGAAGGCTGGTTCCCAGTTTCTTGACTGTGTTTGATGAAACATGTTTCACTAGCTCAACTTTTTTCTCCGAGGTCTGAAGATCATCTGATAACACCTCAGTTTTCTCAACCCTGAAATATGATAAAGATATTTCAACCCCTGCTTCTGAAGAACAACAAAGATTTAAAGACAAACACATGTACATGTATATATAGTTGTTATTTTAAAAAAAAAAAGGAAGAGAAAGAACAGAGAAGCACTACTTTAAGTAACATTTTCATTCTTGAAGTTAAGATAATTTTCCATAGTAAAAATAGTGTGTCTTAAAGTGTTCAAGCATGTCATATGCAAATCTGTATCACAGTCTAAAAATTCTTTCAAAACAATTTTAACTTGACAGTTTAGTTATTTACCATTAATAAAAACAAGAAGCAGAAAATAAAATTATGCCAAAGACTGACCTCCCAATTTTTTTTTTAAAAATCCTATAACTTTTTTTTTTATATCATCTGACAAGGATTTAAAAATACATTTGTTAATTGTCTCATCCCATATACAAAGTAATTTAAATGTTTGTTAGAATAGACACCCACTGACTAAAGCTGGTAATGTTCAAACATGTTCATTTACAATGTATTAAGCATTGTCAAATATCCATATAAAGTCAGTGAAAAAAAGAAGTAACTTACAAACAATGAAAATGAGTATATAGAACATTGTAGAGACTGAGTACTGGTTAACATTTTACTTCTTATTTTTTCATACAAGAATCAAAATTTTGTCAAAATTGAGTTTTATACTGGTATCATATCACACAGAAACTAACAATCTAAAATTGTTTCAAGATATTTATTTCTATGCAATAACTCATTCTACAAAATAAACAAAACACTTCATGGTAAATCAAATGGTTTTACCATTTTTTTTCAATAATCAATCACATGGGGGACCTAGTACTATGTAATATAAGAGCAGGACAGACACTGATGATAAAGCTGAATTTGATAATCCTTTTAATATTTTTTTTCTAGACCTTAACTTTTTGTTCAACCAAAATGACTTTATAATAAATGAGGTAGGAACACTTTCGTTTGTTTGCTTCTTTTCCCAAAAAGAAGTATATTTGTATCTAATAATACACTAAAATTTTATTGTGTTAAATAATAATACATGCATACTATTTTTAATACTTGCAAATTGCCATATGACATTGTATGTGTTTGACTCTTTTGTTGTTTTGATTTTATAATACAAGTACAAAATACAAAATGTATATATTTTTGGCATTTAACCGGCAGTTTTTTTTTCCAATACTTCAACACCATTGTAAAAAAATTAAACCATTTATTGAAGATTACAAAAACAAGTATAACTACAGCACAAAATATTTGTTAATAATAAATGCATGAAGCTTAGAAAACAAACTTTACAGCAAAAGCAACATTATTAAATTTGTTTATGATACAGGAATTACGTGCACATGATAAAGTTCCTACCCTGCTACAATGATAACTGATATAGCTTTTCATCATGCTCAACAAATCTTTTAAGAGCACTCAAGAAAATTATCTTATCATCATGATCTTCATATCTTTATCCTTTCCATTTCAGATAACAAGGAACATTTTGCTACAGATGGCTTTTAACATGACAATTATAGCAAGTTGAAAAAAAACTACATGTTAATATAAATTGTTTGATAATAATGTCTATGTAAGTAACTTAGTAAGTAAGTAAATTCTTTATTATAGTGACCTGTGTTACACGTATATACATACACAAAAATACACAAAGATGAACACCCAGCCCATAGGACCTATAAGTCACCCAAACAAAAAATCATAATCTGAGCATGTGTAAATGTATCATCATGTAAAATATAAGATCTATTAGACAAGCTGACAGCAAGTGGAGAAAAAACTGGACCTTTGAATACATTATATATGTATATTTATTTGAGGTGAATATGGTAGGAGACGAGAGCTGTCAGCTGTTGATAGGACAGCATATTTGACTATATTTAGTACTTGATAGTAAAACAAGAGCCTGGATAATGTAATGTAGAATGGATAATGCAGAATTTTCTAAGTTAAGAAAATCTTCAGTAAATTTATGTTTAGATAATTTATAAGAAGCACTGCAGAACTTATTATTTCAAATGCTAAAGAAATGACAGAATCTACAACTGTGCATTAACTAGCATCTTTCATACACAAATCAGCAAATATTCTAGAACATATACATGTACTTTGACAATTTTCACAATTTGATTTATCATGCATTTAATTTCAGTAAATCTCAGGACATGTGGTTGATTTTGACCTCAGTGTCATGATACCCACAAATAAGATGGCCACTATGTATACATGATACAATAAATACACTGTTTGTCATCAGATTTTTGACAGGAAGATTTGTAAGCCATTTCCTTCTATATAAAATAAAAACAATAATTAGAGGGTCATGGGCAAATTCAAAACTCCACAATACATGTGATCTGTGTTATGCAATTCACAAATATCTAAGGCGCAAGGCTAAGGCTAATAGTTTGTGTTAAACAGATTGATTATGTTCAAAAATGTATTGACTTCAAAAAAACTAATAATTGTATTATATACTGCCAAATATTCAACCGAGATCTACCATTATATTTTATGTCATTTAAAATAAGCAAAATATCGTTTTTTTTAAAGATTTTAATGGCATTTTGCAAGGCAAATTATCCATATTTCATTCTCTTTAAGAAAAATAACATGTAACTCACTTGCAGTGTTGCTTTTGACTACAAATCATAATTTGATCAATTATGGTAGTGGATATATGTTATATAGTTTCTTTGTTCTGTCTTTTTCATAGTTAAGCATATTTGCAAAGTACAAAATGAGATCAATCTGGATAATTACAATTGTGCTTAACAAAGTGTATGAAGTTTGTCCTTATAATTACTATTCTAAATCTTAATAGCAGTCTTTAGTGTCTTGTGCATGAAATGATCTATCTTCACAAAATTTCCACTAAGTTTTGCCTACTTTGGCCCTATGAATTCAGACAAGATACTGTTTATGGAAAAAATTATAAAGGTCCAACATGCTATGTGTATGTACAATGAACATCAAAATTAAAGTACATGTAATAGATAGATAGTAGATAGATAGATAGATTCTAATGGATAAGACTGACATATGATATCATAGAATACAATGCACATTGTAAGCAATTTAAGGTAAGAGAAATGAGATGGAATCATTATTTAGGAATTCTTACTAGTACTACTAAGGCAATGTTAGACATAAAATATCAATTCTGCAGGCCTTCAGATTTCTGACAAGACAATTGTCACAGATTTTATATAGAAATAAACCTAGTGACCAATTTTAGTCTCTAGACAGTGATTTTTGCAAAGTTTAATCAGGCTAAACACTCATTTTTCAAGTTAGTATGAAGTTCAGATAAAATAATTAATCATCTTTTCATACATGTATAAGAATTCACCCATTCTTAAATAGTGTAATTTTATCCTTTGAATAGCTTGTTCCTTTATTTTCTAACACAACAAGTCCTTACACCGGGCATATCATCAGTCAAGCCAAAAGAGATTGAGAAATATGGAAGATTTCATTTTTATAAATCTCTGTAAAATATCCACAGAGTGTAATCTAATAACCATAGTAAGTAAATTATGAAGCAAGATAATTGCATGTTAAATGTACTACAGTGTACATGGAGAGAGATGAGGAAACAGGAATAAATTATAGGTAATCTCCCTATTCAAATACCCAGGAGCGACTGGGACCATTTCATAGCTGCAAAACTTCTTTCAAATTCAGTGTGCCCATACCATGTGACTATGACATCACTTTTTGGTATGGTAAAATAGCAAGCAGAAATTCTAAATAAACCAGTAAATTCAAATGGTGTTATATTTTGATAGTGAATGTGTATATCAAGTTTATTATATGTCAATTTCTTTGATAGTTATTGAGAAAATGTACCTTAACAAACAGATTAACCAGGGCTAAAGTTCAAAAGGGGGGCATAACTTTGGAAAAATTAATTTAAATATTATCTGCCCGCTGAAATGTTTAAAACAGTAATTTTGAAGTGAATAGCTTTATAGTTTCTGAGAAAATGGACCTTAAAACTAAAATAAAGAAAAGGTTAATCAATGTCAACGTATATGGCATGCAGGTCCAGGAAAGTTCCATTAACAGATTCATATACAAATTGTCATTTTTGTGTCAATTTTGTGTTCGACATATATTAGCTATGCACATCATAGGTAAAACCTTATTTTATAAATAATAATATTATATCATATGATATTTATTTTTCATAATTTTGACATTGCATTTACAAAAACAACAAATAATAACTGACAAAGCAATAAGCAAATTGTATTCCATCAAACAGACACTTGGATTGTAGACCCTGGCCCTTCTTTCCCTGAATATTAAAAATTAAATCATTTTTTTTTTGCAAGCACTAGTCTTAAATTTGTTTTTAATGATATTATTATTAGTATTTACTATTATAACATGGTTTAGTGAAAGCGAGCTTCAATGTGTAGACATAATTGACCTAAATGAATTTGAAGTATTCATGTTATTACATGCCTTTTCTTTCTAGTGTCTATCAATCAATATGTTATTGTCTGATCATACATTTCTTTCAAGCTTTGCACATTCAATATTAACTTTACCACACTGTGTCACATGTTTGGTTATGAAATCATGACAAATTTGCTGGTTCTTGCAATATAGCAGAAACTCATAGGAAATCCGTAATGTTTTTTGTTTTGTATTTAATTACTTGCGCAGAGGCCTTAGCCTCTTGCTTTTATGGGGAAAAAAATACTAGATGGGAAGTAAAAAAGCTGGTGTAAGTTCAGATTTTTTGGAAAAACTGCATGATTTTAAGAAAATTTCCATTGGGAATCTTGCAGCCTTTTAAATTTTATAGGTGTCATTTATCATACATGCCATAATTTTTAGACTCATTTCCGGGACACTTTTCATTTGGTGGTGGGGCATTGATCAGCAAACGTATTTTTTTTAAATTTACATAGTGGCATATAACCTATATAACCGGTAGTTACATTTTGCAAATTTAATGACATCATAAACAAAAGACAAAATGTCAATAATTATTAACAGTTTTTCTATCTTTTTTAGTATTTAGGCATCGTAAATTCAATCAGTCACAGAATAGTATAAAGCTATGTTAAGCAAGGACAATTAGCCTAGTCGTTTACCTGAAACATTCGCTGAATCTTGTAGATTTCATCACCTCATATTTAGCGGTAATTTTCACGGTGTTTGACCACTAATAAAACTAAATTTGTGCTGGCCTGTTGTTAATTACAGTATATGACACCTTCGCTCATGAAGCCCCAGGGGGTAAATAATTAATCTTTTAATTGATCAAAATTATTGCCGATAACAGTTTGTTGGAAGGGGCACATAGATATACCAATCAAAGGATTAGTGTCACCATTGCAATGTGGTAAGGGGATAATCGTTTGTTATAAGCGTTCTAGACTAGTTTATAAAAACTTGACAATAAAATTATATAAAAAGGTAAAATTTCTTGCATCAAAGTAGATTATTTTAGATCTTTTTTTACCGGGACACAAAACATCTCCGGGACAGACACCTTATTTCCGGGACTTTACCGGACATCCAGGACGTTATGGCATGTATGCATTTATATATGGTGAAAAGTCACTGGAAACAAAAAACTAAATGTATCAAACAGTATCAATTTGGAATGTATAGTATCACCATTTCTCATTTGCAAGCAGATAAGGTAATCAAAATAAAATGTATCCAGACAGGGCATTTTTTGTCAAAATTGTGAAGGGGCCTGGGCCTGTTCATTTTGTGAAAAAAGCGCGATATGTCATAAATTTGTGAAAAATAAAATGACATATAACCAGGCATTTCACGACATTTTGAAACCAGAACTGTTTGATTATAATTTCTGACCTGTGTAAAATCTGCTTCAAGTTGGTTAATTTACCCGCACGTGTATATTTAAAAAAAAATTCAAATTAAAAAAAATTAAAAAAAATATATAGAATTCTATACCTATCAATGAAATTTTCAGTGTCAGTTCTAGTTAGGCGCCGCCATTTACAATGTAACTCAATGATAAAAGGCGGTGTATTCCGATTACGGATTAAATCTCAACTTTTCGGATTAATAATAATCGTCGAGTGTTCCGAGTGAAAACGGAAGTGGGTACATATAATACCGAATGACACCTTTAAAACGGAAAAATGAAAGGATTTTTTTACCGACTTCCCCGTTCATAGGCTTTGCCTAATTTCATATTAACATTATGTTATTTTGGGTATACTAATAGTTTCATATGAATAAATAGTATTTTATTGCAACTATATTAATTATTTCACATAAAGAATATTACAACTTAAGTTCAGGATATGTGACCAGGCTGTAAAAATATGCAAAAATAACGAGACGTATGGTTAGTAAAATAAATTTAGCCTTGATGTATATCATTATGTGCGGATCAAGAAAGAGAGCGACTCGCATTTAACAGAATCTCTGTTCTATTAGATTATCAACATTAGGTTATTTGTTAAAACAGTTATAAATATCAAGATTTTAAATAAGCTAGATTTATTGACACCCATTGGCAAAAATTAAGTGAATAATCATATCAATCTAAGTGTACGATGCTTACTTGGTACAAAAAGAAAAAAATCGAGATACAAAAAGAAAAACAAACAGTGCCCCACCTTCCTAAATTCTGATCTGCAATTTGTTTCACTCTCAGAAAATTCTTGCGTAAGTTTTCCTTTTTGAACATTTTTATTGATCCTTTTCAACTAAATCCACTATTAAAAATTATCCAGCATCTTCTCAGATGTCAAAAAAATTGGATAAATTCTTCCGGAATCATAATCGATGAAAAATGATTCCTGACTTGTTCCCCCGGAAGTAGAAAACAGTAGCCGGAAACATTTTTCACCAACCCTTGATGTAACAACATCATTGATTGGTTCATTATGATTGGATATATTAAGAAAGCCAATCAAAAGGCATAATCTTTAAGTAGTGAAAAAATGGCTGACATAGTCGAAAACGTGTTGCAAGAAGCAGCTGCTAAAGAGGCAAAATATAAAACGACAGAAGTTCACAAAGATATAGATCTCGATATAGATGAAGGGAATCTTATGACTTCAGATTCTAATCCAATAGATTTAAAAAGTTTCCGGTAGTATATATTATTTAAACTAAAACGATAATTGTCATATGATTTCGCGACAAGATTTGTAACAAAAAAATAGATTTTGAGCATAGTTTGCATGATTTCACTACATTTTGGTCGTCAGTTTCTATGTCAATTATAATATGAAAAGGGCAAAGACTCAAAGCGAGCTCCATTTGCTTTTAACGTGAAAAAGTATAAAATAATTGTTCTTTTTTTTTTTACATTTTCCGTTTTAAAATTGCCATTTGGTATAATTTATATACACTGCTTCCATTTATTCTGGTTCCCTGTCGTATTATTGTTTGCAGGGCACCAGTCTACGATTCCGTTTTCAATTAGAACACCTCAGCTTTTATTGTTATCTTGTAATTCGAAAAGTTGCGATGTGTCGATTCGGTACTTTGGATGAAAGTTTTCAAAACCATCACTATCTAGCAGGTACCGTAAAGCTCCCTTTGTGAGCAGCCCCTTTGGGCCAGCTCCACGAACTCTCTATTATTATTTTAATGCCATATCTCAAAAGGATGCCCTTTCTATTTTTCTTGGCACTGCTATAGCTGTACAACAACAACAACACAAACTTTATTAAGCTCAATCCATGATAACAAGCATGTGAGCATACAGCGAATAATACAAACAAAAATACCTTGTGAGGTCACATGACAGATTCTTTGCTTAACGGGGTTGACAAAAGTGATAGTGTGTTACTCCATTTATTTTTTTGAAAAGGACTATAAATTCCGTATGGACACTGTATCATAAGTAATGATACTGAATTCATTTGCTATTACATATACAGAGTCTGCTGACACTTTTAGTAAAGTAGTGAATCAGCACCAATGTGCTTTAATCTTTGAATGAGAAAATTTGGAGAAAACAAACCAAATATTCAGAAGCTACTCAGGGGTGCGTAATTACTGTGCCCGACTTGTTGACTCAGGACTTTTTGCCGGTGGACAAGTGGATTTTCACGAAGCTGTTGTCCGCAGACAAGTGAAATTTTTTAGTAAATAAAAAAAATGCAGAAATTCAAACTGTACTTGATCGTGAATGTAAAATTAATTCCATAAAAGTGTTTGTTAATCCGTGTTTACAATGCGTAAAATTTATCTGTACACCATCTGCAACAGCACAAATAAATCTGTACTTTACAATGCTATTTAACCCCGTATGAGGCCTCTCCCTTCTATTGGAAAACAAGCTTGGCAATTGGTTGTATTGAGTCAACCAAACGGTGCCTTAGTAAATAATGCGCAGCATCATATATTCAGTGATTCAATTATTTTGATACAAAAATTAAAAAATGGACTAATTTTTGTTAGGTCTGAAAATAAACTGAAAAGCATAAATCAAAAGTGCAGAGAGACAACGAATATGACCGCAAACGCATACATGTGTTTAAACTTTAAAGATATTTTATATTCGCTCTGAAAAGACGATCATTCAGCCTAACAGACTTGTCATGTTTGCGAATGTTCCTAAGGCCTTGGCCGTTTATGTAGGAAAATCATTAATAAGAAAGGACACTCTTACATCACATCAAATGTCGTTTAAATGTGTAATGTGCGTCTTAATACAAGTTTTAGCAAAACCCCAGTAAGCAAGGACCCATTGGTTAAATAAGGCCATTGTAATAAACTTTTTTTACTGTTTATTCGGGCAAGTGAACTTTAGCTGCAGACAAGTAGAAAATTTTAGTCCCACTTGTAAGTGGAAAAATTCCAAAATACCACACCCCTGCTACTATTTTAGTTTTACAACTTTTGATAATTGTTTATTGTAGAACTTGTGATAAGGAAGATACTGTTCTCTTAGATACATCTATACCCAGTTGCTAAGTTTGAATGCATCCAGATAAAGACTCCAGTCATTGTAAGATGTCTTTAAATGGTTAATTAGTACCCTGTATTTTCATCTATTTTCAGATCAAACAAGGAAAAGTTTCTAAAAGATTTATCAAGAGATAATACACAGATTCTAGTAAATAGCATATGGAAGGTAAATTAGATGCTTATTCTGTTAATTTTATAATTATGTAATTAACCTGAATGTTACAAATTTCTTAAATGTCATGCTTCCATTTTATGCATCCTGGTCAGTCTGCAGAGATCTGGCTCTTTACTGGTGGGCTGTGGTGGCACAGATGTATCACTTTTGATTCCAGCTAGGTTAAAAAATAATAACATGTAGCAAACTTACAATGCTCATATTGTTTGAAAATGCAATTTATTTTATGATTTTTGTGCCATTTAAAAACGTCAGAAATCAACCTGTTCTTGTAGTTGTATATGTCATTTAATTTATAATATTCTTACTTGAAAAGTAACCAGTATTAAGGTCTTTGTATGCAAATCAATTCTTGAATAAGGGTTACATAAACTGGTTTTATCAGTGATCTGACATAAAATCTGCTGAAATACTAGCTACCTTGCTCTATCTACCACTTGACGTTGTAACACTACAACTTACCTGAGACTGGCCCTGCTGTTATTTCTACATCATGTACATGTATTATTGTTGTCATTGCAGCTCCCAACACAGAGAGTAGAAAACATTGTTGCAGCACAGGTAATCATCTTACTCGTATTTCAAAAATTATGCGCTTTATCAAAATTGTAAATTCTGATAATTCTAAATGATGCTGTGCAAGCTGATTATTAACCTATTATTTTATGCTCAGATGTGAGCTTTTCTGTTTAAATGATTTCTGTTGACCATTGTGTGTCATATATTATATATCCACAATTTCTTTGAACATCATATTTTTCTAAACTACATGGTAGGCTTGTTCTACAGAAGTTTTATAAATCATGTCACTAGAGTGAAAATTGGCTCTGTATGGGTCACTTAGACTTAGTTTATGTAAACTTCATTAGGAAAACTCATTTCAGTCTTGTGTGAAAATACAATATCTAGAGCTTAGATATTTGGTATGTGTTACAAAAATATCACCTTTTGGTCCTTTACAAATGTTACATAAATTGTTTATATAGACTTATATAGGAAGAGGTGTTACTACTAGCAGATTACTGGTTTATACCGGGTTGCTATTACCAGCCAAGTGGATAAGATTGTCAACTTTGAACCACTTGCTCCAAATTACTGTGAGTTTGTAACCTTCCACGCAATCAAGCTAGCTTGTAGGATGTAATTGATTCCACTCGGGTGCCTGCTTGAAATATTGCACATGAGGTCCTCCCCCACCAGCAAAGCCAGGGTTTATACAGAATTAAACAAAAATGTTTTATTATTTTCAGTTACCGGATCCAAAAACTGCCATTCCAAGAGAAAAACCAGTAAGTTGCTAAATTTGCTCACATATTGTTGATGAAAAGAAACTACAAATAGTGATTAAATTAGTGGCGTTAGCAGGCTGGAGAGATATAACATTCTCCATTTTCTTTGACTCATGAACAGACTGAATAAATTCAAGTCTGCAATTTTCACCTTAAAACTTGTTTTAATTGCTCACCAGTCTTGAGAGATCTACCATTTTTCAGATTTATTTTAGATAGTAATAAGAGGATATTTTTTCTTTTGAATAAAATATGGAATATATTTTCACGAAACATGATGAAATTCCATATATTTTCGCAAGCTGGAACTGCAAGTGAAAAAATATAGAATTTATCATGTTTAGTGAAAATATACATGTATTCCATTGTTTCCAAAAAAATAACTTGCTTTTAGTTTTGACTTTGCCCACTCACATATTTATTTTTCATAATTGTTTTTTTAACAAATACAATATATATGGCTGATATAGCACCATAAAGTAAATTTAAAAAAAAACTATAATTCAGGGATCATGAAACCGATTACCTTTAAAGTCTGAGTCTGTAATTTCTAACTTTTTGTTTTCTCTATTCTTGAATGACCTCCCCTTTCCATAATTATTAGTCAACACTGTGAGAGGAAGCTATAAATACATGTAGAATGTGCTTGTCTATGCATATGGATTATGATAATCAGGGTTCTCACTAGGACTTTATAACATGGAGTCCATGGACTCCCAACGCTGAAAAAGTTGGAGTCCAAAAGCGCATCGCAATTAATATGTTAATTTACAGATTAGTCATTCAATGCTCACAATAGCATTGATGATATTTTGAATCTTCAAGAGACTTTCAAAGTTTATAGTTATTCAAAACAAACTCTGAACTACATAGTATAATTATTGTTTTGTTGTTAATATTTATTATAAAATTATTTCATTATAATGCATCAACACATGAAAATCGTTTTGTTTTTTTCACTTCTATACCAAATCAAATTTTATTCTGGTTAAATAAGTCCACTCTAAAGACAAAAAGTTTATATTTGTAAAAAAAAACGTAAATGTATATAGGCAGAGTTTAGCGGAATGAATAGGAAAATCGTTATTAATGAGATGATGAAAATAAATTAGTAATCCAAGAGTAAGTTGTAGGGTAGATTTTAAGAGTATTTTTGTATTAAGTCCCTATCTATTCACATTAAAAGTTTCATATTTATATAAACAGGTTCCTAAAGAAAAGACATTGACTAAATGGGAAAAGTATGCCAAACTGAAGGGTATACAAAACAAGAAGAAGTCACGCATGGTCTGGGATGAACCATCACAGGTATAACTGTTAAACAGTATTGTATATGTCACACTGACAACTTGGTATAGGATTAATCTGAATCCCTTTAAACATTTAATCAGTGAATTGTAAGAAAGGTGATACATAGATATATTTTATAGTTACTTTAACTGGAATAATAGTATCATATTTTGAATGATTATGAGGTGAATATCACATTAGCCAGGTTAATAGAACTTGAATATTTACAAGAATCTTTATACAATAAATGCTTAAATAACTGTATCTATGAGTGCGCTAATATCTGTTTAACTTCTTCAAAAAGGGTGTCTGTAAATGGCATATTATCATTCAGTGTCATTTTCATCAAAGAATTTACCATTGTCACAATGAATGTTAGTATGCTTATGTCTCCATGAACTTCATGTAGTAGGCTTTACTAACAGAATTGATACCTAATCCAAATGCAGGATGAACATATAAATTTTATTGCTGACTGCTTACTTCTTAATTTTCCTGCTTTGCAACTCTAGATCTTTTAAAGAGGAGCTGTAGGTTAAAACAGGTATGCCATTGATGTGTTTCTGATTTATAGATTTGCAAAAATTATATTGTGATCACTGGAGTTCAGGGCGTGCAGAAAGACCACATGATCATAGTATGATTTATGCAGACCTGTTAATCATTTAAGTGCAATGGTATATCTTTTAGTAAGAATTTCATTTGGTATATTTTCATAGTTGTCTGAGATTTTTTATTTATTAGAGATCATGACTGCTAGGGTGTACAGAAATCAATGAAAATCATCTTTGTTAAATCAGTTGGTCAGATTTGATAGAATTAGAAAAAAAAATCAAAATTACCAGATAGAGTTGTGTTTTGCCATAAAGTTAATAGAATTTCTATTTCAAAAATCTTTGTAAATATTCCTATAAAGATTGGTGAGTAGTAAAGTGCCATGATGGTTTGTTTAAAGCTTGCCACCTTGTCTTGTCTCTGGTTGTCATTTTTTGGCCTGGTTGCACATGTGCAAACCCGGGTTATAGTATGGTGAATGATGGGCGGCGGGTTGGCGGGCAGGCGGGGAAAAACTTACAGTTTTCTCAGCAACTACTTATCACAGCCTCTTGATATTTGGCATACAGCATTGACATGTAGTTCCATATCTTGGGATTTTATTTCAGGTCTGTTGCTCATCCACTTCCTGTTTACCTACTTAGTTAAATTTTCGACATTAATGGTCAGTGGTAAATTTTTTTTTTGTAACATCACAGCATCATGATATTTGGTATACAAATGCAACACGGCCTTTTCTGTCTTTGACCCATTTTTTATGATCTATTTCAGTCCTACAAGCCAAGATGGGGGTATCAGAGGGGGAATGATGATACTAAGGAGTGGGTGGCAGAGATCAAACAAAATGCAGGTATGCCTGGGTTATAAACTTAAAGGGATTTCAGGCAGGTTCAAATTTTGTGTAAGCCAAGTGCTTACTGAAGGTATTCTCTTTAACTTTCATGCATAGTGTCAGGTTCATATTTATAGCTGTCTGACAAAGGCCACTAACTCTTGCATGGATTTTTAAATGGAATTATGCCTCATTTCCATAGCCACAAAAGTTATGCGCGTGAAATGTAACAATATATGTTTGGGATCATATTGTTTTGGACACAGTCCATATTAGACTGTAACAAGCAAGGATTTTTACTGAATTGTTCTTCTTTGAGAACAGGCATCAGTCAGTAATTCTTCTGGAGCGCAATAAATAGTTGAAGCATGGTTCTCAATGAAGAGCTCTTGTTTATATCAATTGAAAAACTAAGTCAATATAATTTAAACATCTTAGGAATATTTCTTTGTGATCCTCTTAAGTTGTTCAGACAATTTCTCTCTATTTAGAACTGTTTATTGCCATGGCAATCAGGAAAAAAAACTTAATGTTAAAAAGCATGGTAAAATCACGGTAAGATTTTGTTGTTATTTCATGGAAAATATCATTGGGTGGCCATCTACTAAGATTGTTCAAATACCAGTAATGTCATGATAAAATGTTTGTATATACATGTACATAAAGCAATGAAATGAAATGATTTCTGTGATACAGATCCAAATGAAGATATATTTGGGAAGAGAAATACTGCTAAAAAAGAAAGAGTGGCAAAGAATGAATTACAGAGATTAAGAAATATTGCACGTTCACAAAAACAGAAAGGTAAATTTTATATATCTTATGTACAGTTGATAAATTGTAGTGTTGAATTCAATTAATTTCTTAAATCTTTTTATATGTTATTATAATTTCTTCTTTTTGAGAAGAGGGTACATATTGTTTTGTGGCATGATGTTGGTTGGTCTGTTTGTCCATCCATTCCGAATTGTTCCTGATCAAGAACTTGAGAACTCATAGCCCATTACCATAAAACTTCATAGGTGTATTGGTCTTGCGAAGAAGATGACCCCTATATGTTTTGGGGTCAAGAGCTCAAAGATCAATGTCACAATAACCTTGTATGTCAAAACTATTTCCGAGCAATAACTGGACAATACATGAGCTCTTTGCCCTCAGACTTCTTAGTTGCTTTGATCTTGGCAAAATTATGACCCCTATCACATTAACCTTGACTGTCATAACAAATTCTGACCAATAAGACTTTGAAGCTCAATCTTCATGGAAGCATTGGTCTTTGGCAGTAGATTACCGCTTTTGATTAGAGGGCTGAAAGATAAAGGTCACATTGACTGCCAAAACAGATTTCAAGCAACATTTGAAGTCATTTTATGACCCTAACTGTAGATTTTTGTGATTCAAATATTTCATCAAATATTATGTAAAGCAACAATGTTAAAAAAAATTAAAATAGTTATTGTTAACTGGAAATCTCATTTCTTACAGTACCAGGTGTGGGCTTGACACCTACAGAAGCTCCCAGCAAAGATTATCTGGGTAAAGCCCTGGCAGTTGCCAAGAAATCAACAGCCTCCATTGGTAAATTCACAGAAAATCTACCAAAAGAAAAACCATCAAAATTTTCTGGGAAGAAAAGAAAGGTTGGTATTTGTTTGGATGCAATAAAAAAGACATTTAAGTCAGTACAAATTTTCTGCTGTATTATTATTTATTATTCTGTAACATCACAGGTCACAGAACAAGTAACAATGATGATATAAAATAGGTTGCAAGTTAACAAATGAAAATAGTATTTCCTTAGTTCTGTATAAATAAATTGAGATGTAGACTGTGTGATTATAAACATGTGTATAAAGTTACAGCTAAAATAATGGTAAGGACAATTTAAAACAAATAATAAAAGCTTAGAATAAAAGATCATTCAAGGATTTGTCCTGATTTTCTGTTATATCCAATTTAAACATAAGTACTTATGCCATGTCAAAATCTTACCATACCAAAGGAAGGTTGATAAAAATTTCATTCAGGTGCAATGAATGTCAACATAAATGTTTGAGGATAAATTATAGAATTCACTAAAGAATTTGTTATTTAAAATATAACAAAACAAGCATACTAGAATTTATTAGGAGATACTGTTGTAGAATCAGATATTTATCAGATTTCTTCTCTTTTGAATTGTCAGCCTTGACTAGTTGCTCAGATTAGAACAGGTTCAGTTGCCATATGCTTACTTCTACAGCTGTATATAGTCATCTTGTAATAGAGTTAAATGATTAAAGACATTTTGAATTAAGTCATAGAATCAATATTTAATACTAATTGATTTGAAACTTCAGTTTGAACCAAATCATGGTAATCTGAAACAAGAAGCATCTCGCCAGCTTGAGATACTGAACAACCTTGGTAGTGACAGACCCCTTGTTGACAAAAATCTGGCTGCAAATCTACACAATAAAGAATGGGAAAGTGCAAGGTAATTTTAGTCTTAATATTTATACCTCCTCAAAAGTTGAGAATAAGAATATAGGGTAGATGGAGACAAGATGTGCCCTGTTAGTGTTAAAAGGACATTAAATGGACCTTTACAACTTTCAATTTCTGTCCTTTGTTTGATAAATGAATTTAATTTGTCTGGATCTTATCTTGAAATTATGACAGGGATTGACTACAGACTGTTAATGCACATCTGACTACTTTGAGAAGTGTCGGGGGACTAGAATTATTTCCTTTTTAGCTCACAAGAGCACACTGTGCTGATGGTGAGCTATTGAGATCACTTGATGTCCAGCATCTGTCTGTCTGCACTTACAAAAGTGATAAAAGGGGTTTTTGTACAAGTTGGCATTTTGAGATTCAGACTGTAGAAACTGTGTTAATGAAGTTCTCTTGTTTGAATAATCCATGCACACATTTCTTTTAACAACATCCCCTGATAAACCACTGAGTAAATATCTTTAAAACTAATTATAATTGTTATTTAAGAAGTTCTCTTAAAATTTTGTCCACAAAATTTTATTCCATACAGAACTCAGAAAAACTTGTTTGTTTGATTTTGACAACTTCAGTGATATTATTTCACAAAAGTGATTTTTTGATGGCCATCAAAAGTATGTGATAAGTTTAAAAAAATATAGCCACCAGGGGTAGTGTTTTTTCCTCTATATATGTGTTTTTAAGATAACTTGAAAATCTTCATCTTGTTTGATAAAATGTTAAAGTGATGTATCAGAAAATTTGATTATTTCATTAAGGACAAGATGTATGTTGCAGTGCCAAAAATCAAAGTGATAGAAAAACAGGAGTTCTTTGCAAACTAGCACGAGCTCGCCTTGGGCAGTACAATGTTGCATCACAACAGTATGACTGTTGAAGTAGCGACGCAATTATAATTAATTATAATTAATAAATAATAATAATATACATATTCATACAAATGGATTTATTACAAATACATATGATTCAATATATCACATTAAAATCATTCCGTGATTTGATAATGTAGTATACTGTATTTTGGTTGCGATCTTGTAGAATTATAAATTATAATAATTAATAGATTTAACTATTTTTATATGCCCGAAAGAATTTCAGACATATGTTATACCCCCTGGCGTCCGTCTGTCCGTCCGTCCTTCTGTCCGTCCGTCCGTAAGCAATTTGGTTTCCGGAGCATAACTTAAGTTCCATTTGGCCCACAGTATTTAAACTTCATAGGATGATTGTCCATATTGGGTAGAAGACCCCTTTTGATTTTGGGGTCACAAGGTCAAAAGGTCACGGTCACTATGTCCTTAAAACTGAAAACAGTGTCCGGAGCATAACTTAAGTTCCATTTGGCCGACAGTGTTCAAACTTCATAGGATGATTGTCCATATTAGGTAGAAGACCCCTATTGATTTTGGGGTCACAAGGTCAAAGGTCAAGGTCACTATGACCTTAAAACTGAAAACAGTTTCCGGAGCATAACTTAAGTTCCATTTGGCCCACAGTGATCAAACTTCATAGGATGATTGTCCATATTGGGTAGAAGACCCCTATTGATTTTGCGGTCACAAGGTCAAAGGTCAAGGTCACTATTACTTAGAAATTGAAAACAGTTTCTTGAGCATAACTTAAGTTCCATTTAGCCCACAATATTCAAACTTCATTGGATGATTGTCCATATTGGGTAGAAGACCCCTATTGATTTTGGGGTCACAAGGTCAAGGTCACCATTACCTTAAAACTGAAAACAGTTTTCGGAATATAACTTTAGTATCATTTGGCCTACTGTGTTTAAACTTCATAGTATGATTGTCCATATTGGGTAGAAGACCCCTAATGATTTTGGGGCACAAGGTCAAAGGTCAAGGTCACTTTTACCTTAGAATTGAAAACAGTTTCTGGGGCATAACTTAAAGTTCCATTTAAACCACAATATTGAAACTTCAAAGGAGGATTGTTATTTGAAAGAGGGAATACTTTATTTTACTCCCATGTCTTACAAATGCTTCATCTTTACTAAAAAAAAAAAAATCACTTTCGGGCATATAATGCTCCGCCTAGCGGTGCTCTTGTTTAGGAAAAAGTGGCTGAAAAATTCTCTTAATTTATAAGTGTCATTACATATTGTACTAGTATGTACCAAAAGCAGAATGTCATCAAGCATGTTTGACTATAAATGGTTTTAATGTTCTGTCTACTTGAAAAACATAATTTGCATCATCAAATTAAGATGTTTTAAGATCAAGACTTACTAGTATCAGTCACCAATGAAGTGAAATTTTAGGCATTTTATTAAAACTGTAGTACTTGTTTATGATTGAAACATTTTAAGCATATTCAATTGAAAGTGATTTATTTTAAATCAAAATATTGTAAGCTCCAGAGCGAAATGACTCTTTGTAAAAAAACTATTAGTTAACTTAAACAAATTTAATTTTAAAAACCTTTGTGGTATACCACATTTGTTTCAAGTTATTGGATATTGGATAAGTATCAAGAATCATATGTTGATTTGTGAGTCATACAAATTAAAAGAAGGTTCATGTATGAGGGAAGAGGTAGGTGAATGTGATAGTGCGTTTGCGACCAGCATGGATCCAGACCAGCCTGCGCATCCGCAGTCTGATCAGGATCCATGCTGTTCGCTTACCAACTCTATTTCAAGTAGAGAAACTGATAGCGAATAGCATAGATCCTGATCAGACTGCGCAGGCTGGTCTGGATCAATGCTGGTCGCAATTGAACTATGTTGGTTTTGTCATGACGCGGCTCATTTATTGTTTAAGCTTATTTAACATGTTGAGTTAATTATTGCAGAGCGAAAAGAAGACGAGAAGATCCAGATTCATTTAAGAAAAAAACAACCGGCAAAAGAAGTAACCAGGGCAAGAAAGGAAACTTAAGAAACTTTAAAGGAGGCAGTAAAGGTGGAAAAAGTGGAAGGGGTGGTAGCAAAGGTGGGGGAGGAAAAAAGGGGGGCAAAGGATGATTTTTTTTACTGTTGATATATGCATTGTAAATAAAATTATTAAGAATATTGTTTCTCGTACTGTGATTTGTTATACTAAATGCATTGAAAGTATTTTATGTCAAGCTGATGTTGCTTTTAAACAGGTTACTGAACACATAGGAAAAACACCAGTTTAAATAAGTTGTGTCTTCAAATTAAGGAAACATTTATTTTCCATATTTACTGTTTACCTTAACTGGCATGGATTGCAGGAGGGGAAACAGACAGACTTTTAGGATTTATTTACTTTTGCTTGTTCTGGTATCCATTTTAATGTCATGTTCATTTTATAATGTACTGAGCACTCTATACATAAGAACCCTGTACAAGTAATAGTTGTTTGTCTACTTTAAGTGAACTTGTAGTAGAGTTTGTGGCTAAGGTCTACTGTTGTAAGAATCCAGAAAACTTTTGGTCAAAGGTTAGGTTAGGACAATATAAAAACTTGTAAATTGTTATTCTATAAAAACTTGTAAATTGTTATTCTATAAAAACTTGTAAATTGTTATTGGTGCTTAGATATGAAATATAATTAAATTTGATGGGACAAATGACTTGATTTGTTCATCAGAATGATGAACCCATACATTGAAATATGGCTATTGTATATTATTTTGAGTCTTCCAAGTTGCAAATTACAATATAGTAGCATAGAAATTCAAACAGAAATGAAATATATCAAGTTTCTACTTCAATGACACTGGCATCAAATTGGCATCTCTGTTGACAATCTCAATGTTGACAGTTTATTATACCAGTAAAGTTCTATAAGAAGAGATAATAAATGTTATGGTTTACCATGTATGATATGAGAAATAATTTTAATTTTGTTTGGAGTATATTTATCCTGGTAATTGTTTAATATATCAATCCACTAAATTAACCCAAATGGTTCCGGATAAATATCATATAATAAGCTTTGACCTAAAACCTTTTTAAAAAGTTAAGCTGTATTTACTTTTACTTGTTTGTTGCAAGCTTCAGTTTCATGGGATTTTAATTGACCTTATATTTATTAACAGATTAATACAATATGGTCTATTTATATAGAGGATATTTATTTGTTTTGCATGTAAGATTGAAATATAATTTCACTGAGTGAACACCAGATGCAATATTTTCACGAGTGGCGTAGCCACGAGTGAAAATATAATAGCTGGTGTTCACGAATGAAATATATTTCAATCTTATATGTAAAAACAAATACATTTTCTTTTTATTTCATGCTTTTTGAGTGATTTTAAGTACTTTTTACTGATTTTGCCGCGTAACGTCGTGCATTCTCCTTTGTGACGTCATCACATCATGACGTCACCTCATCAATTTTGAAATATAGTTCTGTTAAATTTCTACAATTTTGTTACATTTATAACATGATGTATGGTGACATCGACTTTCTTTTCCTAAAGAAGCAAAATTTACGCATAACAGCATTTATTTCTGCCTGTTATTCCATTTAGTTATGATTTTCTTTTCATCCGCATTCAGATATAGTCCGGCTACAGTGAATATTATATTTTATAAATTTCACTAGTGGTTTATCAGAATATAATCATCTGATATATTACAATAAAACACTGGAAAGCATGAAATAAAGATAAATGTCTTACTACTAGCCAGGTTTTATTGTTGGGTTTAAGAAAAATATATTATTCTACCAATAAATAGGTAGAAAAGAATATGTTGACCGTCTTAAAAGGTTGCCTTTTTCCCTGCTATTTTAAATTTGATAAAAGTTTGTTATATTGGAAATTTTCTAACAAAAGCATTCATATTTACTGTTTCATTTCGTACCATTAAAGGAAAAGGAATTATCTCATTTGTCAAGAAAATATATATTCTATATCGTTTTATGCTGGAATATATAATTAAATAAAAGTGCATGTACCATTACTTGTAGTGTACATTGTAGTTGGTCTGTTTGGATATTCAGCAAGGACTTAACTTGCATCCCACAATCTTTGTAAGCATATTAATGTTGGCCTGAAGTGAAATCTGGGGGTCCAACTATATGGTAGAATTTCTGGTTGAAAAACATCACAAAACTATATCTAAATCATGATTTTTATTATCACAAACAAGTAAATAAATATTTGTATAACAAATAAGCTACATTAAAAATAGGTAAAGGATAGGAGAATATAGAATGGATAAAAAAATAAATTTAAAAATCTTGACAATATTGATATATAGTTAATATTTGAGAAAACACATAGAATTAATCATAAAACATTTGAACATGTTGACATTTGTGATACATAAAATGCATATAAATATAATACTGTAGATAGAATTTGGTATAAACATAAAATGTACATAATCATAATAATAACGTACATGTGTATTATACATTAAATGTCAGTTACAAGTTTCTTGTTTTGATACAATTATGTTGTTTTAGTCTTTAAATATACAACATGTACAAAAAATCACTACAAGTAGTATGCCTGTATAAAAATAAGTCAAAATATAAGGCACAATAGTATATAAATTTAACACTTGTATAGCTTTTTGGATAATAATAACTATAATTCTGAAATTTATTTCAAATGTATTTAAAAAAAATCTTGTTAATCAGCAGATGATTCATTCAGCACCATTAAATTATGTGGCAGCACAAAAATCTTTAATTTAATGAAGACTAGAATATTTTGTTTACACTTCTTGTATTTAGTATTCGCATTGGTCACCTTCCATTTTTACCAAAAAGACATATTTTGCCTTCCACCATGCTGTGTTATTATATAAAGGGTATAAAATAAAGTACTTTTTTTAACATGAAATCACTATACTTGAGCACATATTTAAAAACAACAGTTACTGGCTGCATTGGCAGAAACTAGGATCAGAACACGGTTTTACAGAAAGAAGTTTCCTAGAGTTTCTGTGAGTGCACATGTAATTAGAACCTAGCTAATGCTTATTGCACTTGTAACATAATCAGTTTTATTTTTCACTTTTTCTTTATGCAATTTGCTGACTAGCTTCAAGCAAAATATGTGCGCATATTTTAATGAAGAAGTGCAGTGAGCAAATGTTTGCTATAAAACTGAAACATGATTTATTTACTTATCACCTTTATCATAAAAATTCCAAAATTCTGTATCCTTGGTATTGCCTTTGTCCCCCCTAACTTGTATCTTCTCTGGTGGGGGAGTTACTGGTGGGGTCTCAAATATAAAGTCTTCTAAAGGCGTTTGTGACTTTGGTTGATCTTTCTTTGGAGCCGTTTTTGGTTTAGGTCTTGGTTGAGGTCTTCTTTCTCTTGTTGTAGGCGCGGGTGCTGTTTTAGTTCTGTCACGTGGTACATCGTCCCAGTTACGCTGAAATTTTGGTGCGTTTTCAAAAATATTGTCCAGTCCCTTTGCCAGCGTTTTCTGTAGAAATATGCATTCCCGCCATTTGCCTGTGTGTAAGCATATAAGGGTCAGTGTGCTATAACAATATCTGACAGTTTTCTTATAAACCAGGAAAATCATGAGTAGGAAAGTGCAAGATGAAAAATCAAAACGAGTGGTACAGATTTGATTGGGTGCGCATGTGCAAAACTAATGTATCCAGCTAACAAAAGGAAGAATAAGAAAACATCAAACTAGCAATATAGGAGACTGTTTGATTAAAAGCAGAAGACTAGAAGATGGGATTAGGAAGCACAAATATAGGCCAAGCATACATCCATGTCGCTAGAGAAAGACTGTAATGGGGACGGATGGTCTAAATTGATGAATAAAATCCCGAATTCTTTACAATGCGTTCAGTCATAGACAGAATAGTTAAACGTTGTAAGCTGCCCCGGATTAATTAAGCTTTTTATGATTTTGATAAAGCTTTATTTCCAACTGGGACGTGAAGAGCTATTGGTTTGACTGACGTTCGGGCTTGCTGGCCAAATATAGAAATAAAACAGGACATGCAAATTAACATATAATTCTAGTGAAAAAAGTTACATGTGATAGGATAAAGCTTAACTGAAAGAAAGAGAGAGAGAGAGAGTTTCCAGGTAAATTGCGACGTTCATTTTGTTTGGTTTTTCTTTTGAAGTGTTTCAATGAAGTACTGCTCCCAAGCTTTAGTCATTCTCTGCCTGAGCACATTGTGTTCTGCCCATTTACCTACAAACACAAAGAAACACGTTAACAAATAAACGCACGCATTAATCAGCCACCCTCTTCGAACGATCAAAACGTGCTACTTTTAAATCGTGAAATTTTAGCGTGCCAAAACAAACAGATCGCCCTTCCAACAGAAGTTCAGATATGAAATTATTTTCTTTAGATAAAATTCGAACGCGGACGAGTATAAGCTCAAAAGAAGGAACAAGTGGATAGTGATAAGATAAACCAAGATAAAGTTAGTAGGGGAAAAACTAGTAATATATATATGTAAACCTGTATAATATTTAATGTAAGTAAAGCTGCTAAACTACGATTGAAATACATGCACACCTTGAAATATCAGCAGTGTCCTGTTTTGCCGATTTATGACGACAGAGCGTCTTTTACTGGATATTTTCTTAAGTTCCACCATTCTCTTTATTTATTCCTCTAAATAACTCAGAACTTAAAAGACATTTTGAAGTAAGAAACTTAATAAAAACAGTACAATGAAACCTTTATTGGATTATATACCCAGGACACCGCCGATACGAGACGTATTTTTATAAAATACATGTATATATATAATATTCTATGAAAGTGATGATTATGCAACTAACATTTAATCAATATAAATCTATTACAAATACTTATAAAATCAAGTTACGTATAAATAATGTGTAATCTATAATTTTACTATTTATATAATGATTTCATTTAAAAGTATGGTACTAATAAAAGTATAGGCTACTTACTGAGTTCATCTTTCTGATATCTCCACTTGTCTGGATCTGGGTTTCTGAACAGATGCACCTGGTCATTGAACGCTGTCTTCGTGGTGCTAATCTTGTGATTCATCGTATACCCTGGCGTCACATTCATACGCATAGAATTACTTAACATTTCATAATCCGGGTTCAACTCTTTGGAGAAAGCTGGAACTACGGACGGTTTGCTCTTTCTTTGAATACTTTCATTTAATTCCTTCTGACTCCTTTGAGTCTTCTCAACAACATCCCTGTCTGATAAAAGTTTGTCACAGACTCGTGAACCATATTGATGTTTTATATTTGGTGGAATGTCTATTGTTGCTTTCTTGGCAGACCGAGCGCTGCCAACGCCCCTTGATGGAGTATATGCAGCCACAGATGCTAAAATACCGTTCATATCTCCAGTTCCATACCCTAGATTTCTCATTTGAACTTCTGTTCTTTCTCGACGTGGAAAATCCATACCTGGTCTTAGAATATCCCCGATATAACTGTAGTTATGAATAGGCGGTTTCTTCCCGTATTTATCTCTGTTGAAACTTTGGTTCGTATTTAAGCCAACAATGTTTATATCCTTTGACCCTTGAATATCCTTCTCAGAGAACCACTGCTGTCGTGGCGTGCCCGGATTGTTTTCGCTAGACAACGGCTCTCTGCTTTTGGAAATATTATATAGGCTTTCTTCCTCTCTTTTCCTCAGTTCGCTTGTATGGTTGGTTAAAAGGCTTTTCTGAGCTTCGTATTCACGCCTGGACTTTTCAAGAACACTTGCACCTAAAAGTTATCATAAAAAAATTGTTTTTACACGTAAATTTATTCTATATTACAATTGTATATACATAACCGAATGTACCAGCTAAATCTAAACAGCACTGCTTTGAGTTAAACAAAACCATAAAATTCAATAGATAAAGGTATTTAAAAGATCTGCTTAACCTATTCAACGATTATCAAGCAGGAAAAGTATAAATAACTACACATCCAACGATTTCCTTTATATCTCTATTTGTACAACTGTCTTAATCAATAAATATTCATTTTACAATTTAAAAACATCAGTATATATATCCGATTACTGTCATAGAACACGAAAAGAATATTTACTAGTATGTGATAAAATCACCGAAACAAAAGACAGCCTTCTTGAAATGAGGTGTGAAGCAATGCTATGATAATATCTGCTATACGAGTTCAATAACTTTATTGTTCTGTATGAATTAGGAAAAGATTCGTCACGTCATTCAAAATATAAAATATGCTAGTGTTTAATGTATCATTTGAAAATACGCTACTACAAATTGCTAAACAAAATACTTTCAGTGGAAATATTAAGCACTTAAAATTTTCAAAGCATGCACGTTTCATTTATTTATATAAACGTTAGCCATGGAAAAGTATGCGAACCATTAAATTAACAAAATTTACATTTTACAAATGTAAAGCAATTGAATATTTTAAACCGCCAATTATTTATGCATATGCTATACATAAAAGAAAGAAACAAACAGAAAAAAAATACAAACAAAGATGTTCAATTTAAACTTAGCGTAAGACGACATATGTACGGTACATGTACATCTATCTACATGCTTCAAAATCGTAATCGATTACACTAAGCAGGCGCGTTGTCTGGGAATAGCTGTTATAAGTGCAAATTATAGACAGTTAAAAAGAACTACAAGTTAAAAACAAAGCTCGCTTAGAACTGGTAAAATGGATGCAGCTGCCCAGTAAAGAGGTCTAAACTGAGACTAGCTTGTAAGGACACGGGTAGGCCATACCACAGACGAATACTTCTGGGGAAAAATGAATAGGAGTGGTATTGTGTCCCTGAATATGGTATTAGGTAGTTCAGGTTTCTAATGGGTGTCAGGTGGTGATGGTCGACCCTCACAAGATTGTGTTGGATTTTGTAGAGAAGGGTAACAAAGCTGATGCTAGGGTTTGCCAATTAAGTTTCTTTGACCTTTTTATTTGAAATTTTGACATTTCTTTTTATAAATCTGAGTGAATTATTTGCTTTTGCTGTTATGTTATTTATGTGATTGGTCCAGGATAAATCTTTACTAATTGTTACGCCTGAATACTTTGCAGCCTCAGTGGATTTTAGTTGCTGCTTGACCATGTAAATTATAGGGGAATGTTACTGGATGTTTCTTGCGGCGGATACTAAGGACTTCACATTTATCTGTGTTAAATTCCATGGACCAATCAGATTCCCAGTTTTCAAGACTGTTGAGATCTTTTTGGAGGGTTTGGGCGTCTTGGGTTGATTTGATTGTTAAATATACTATTGTATCGTCTGCAAATAGCCTGACCTTGCCCTTAACACTATCAGGAAGGTCGTTTATGTAGGATAAGAAAAGGCAAGGTCCCAGGACCGAGCCTTGGGGGACATCAGAGAGAACAGGTAGGTTGTCAGAGTTTTGACCATCAACAACGACCTGTTGGGTGCGACCATATAAAAATGACCTAGTCCATGAGATGACATCTGGGCTAACACCTAGTCTGTGTAGTTTAAGGAGAAGTTTGTAATGGTCGACTTTATCAAATGCTTTGCTGAAGTCCATGACAATGACATCGGTCTGTTGGCATTGCTCTAGATTGTCATGAACTTCCTGGGTGAAACTGATAAGCTGGGTTTCACAGCTATGTTTTGACCTGAAACCATGTTGGAAATTGCTGAGAATATCATGCTTGTCGTAGAAAGACATGATATTGGAGACAAATGTATATGCTCCATTAGCTTAGAGGCAATGCAGGTTAGTGATATAGGCCTAGCTGTAATTACTAGGCTTACATTTTGGGCTTTTCTTATAAACAGGGACAATGACTGCGTGCTTCCAGTCAACAGGGACAGTACCAGATTTTAAGGAAATTTAGCAGATGTGTGTGAGAACTTTGGCAATTTCAGTACGAAGTTCTTTCAATAACCTTGGGGACAGTTGGTCGGGACCAGAGGCTTTTGCTTGGGTTTAAACCTTTGAGAAGTTTCTTTACACCTTCCTCTGTTATGTTGACATTTGGTATTTTTGGATGGTTTTGTGGAGTAAGCAATTGCTTACATGACTGGTTTAGGCTTAATGGTTGGGGGGCGGGAGAAGACAGAGTCAAATTGTTTATTTAGTATGTCTGCCTTCATTTTAGGATCAGTAAAGGTTTGACCATTACTCTTTAAAGGTGCTACTCCACAGTAGAACTTCAATTTCTTTCTGGTTGTGAATCATCAGAGAAAATGACCTTGTCTAAATACAACCAGTATTAGTTCCTTGTTTCTTTTTGTATTTTACCTCTAAGCTTTTTTAATTTACTAAGCAGGTCTAGGGAAGGGATATTAGACTGTTTAATTTTTGAATACAGTCGATCACGTTTCCTGGTTTGGCCAATGATGTGTGGATTCAACCAGGGTTGATCGCGACGTACCTTAGTTCCTCTTTGAGGGGATATGGATTGAACTGGGGCAGGTTAATTCATTCTTAAATAAAATCCAGGCAGAGTTTGAGTCGGTATGATTTTGTTTAAGGAAGGATTGTGCAAATGTGTTGAAGTTGCTTTTTAATTTTGACCAGTCAGCTTTCTTATAACATTTGATTTCTCTTACGGGTTGAATGGGGCGGCCTCTATTAACCTTTAACTCATGGAAAACAATGTCATGATCAGAGGATCCTAGAGGGGGTAGGGTTTTCGTGCTGTGAACTTGACCTGGCATATTTGTTAGGAAGAGATCAAGAGTGTTGCTGCCTCTTGTGGGGAGGTAACCATTTGCGGTAAGTTAAAATTTAGAAGGTTTTACATATGTAAATATTGCTTATGTTTCAGATCACCAACACTGTGGTAGTACTATGGTGTACCTGGAAGCTGTTTCTTGACATCATCGGGCAGTCTGAATTTCTGTCCGGCACCTTTACCTGTTGGTGTTTTTGGCAATTTTACCGAGTGCAGATCGAGTTCACGTGCTGACTTCATACCTTCCTCTGTTTGCATTTCCAATATACTCCCAAACAGGGAAGATTTTGGCATGGCCTCTGTTCTCCTCGCTCGGTGCGAGTCTTGAGCCATTTGGGCTTGCTCAACAAATCCTGTAGCCATCGTCTTAAAAGCTAAAATATGCACAATATAAAACGTGAGGAAAGGAAGCTTGTGAGTGTAATGCGCAGCCGATAATAAGTACATTGAAAGACAGGATACACTGCAAATTCAACACCTATACGTTAAAACAGATATGCACACTAGATAATAATACACATGCACATGTCCACTTCCTTGCGAGGGGTTTGACAGAAAAGGAGGATAGACACAGAAAACTTGGTATATTTCTTGTAATATAGATACAATGTATAAGAATATAAGAAACAAGCACTGTAGTACACCTCTTCTCTGAATTACGTTATTAAATAGATCTACAATAAATATAGCTCTCGTCAATCATCAACTTCTTCAGCGTTAGATGCCTTAGATAAGACTTGAACAAACAAAGTCTTGGTCAATGGTTATAGATTATACATTTATTATGACGATTTACTTGAACAAAATATTGTACTTCTAGGCAATTTCTGATCTGTACTACAGGATGCCTCATATTTACAAATCAATAAAATATCGAAATGAAGTCATACATGCAAAAGTTATTCGATAAAGGTTTATTGCTATCCCAATAGAAGTTTGTATTTTTAGCCCCAATCTTCAAGAAAGGCGAAGAGCCAATCCGTGCAAATTATAGGCCGATTTCCTTAACACGTGATTTATGTAAGTTTATGGAACACATATAGTGTCCTCTTCCATTATCATATATCATTATTTTACCAACCATGACATCCTTTTCCACCTTTAACATAGATTCAGGGGGAAAAGGCCAAGTGTTTGCATAAACGACCTGGTCACCTCAGTATATGAGAAAAAGCAAGTAGATCTGATTCTTTTAGATTTCAGTAAGGTCCGCTTGTTATTACACGATACTGCAATATACATTGCTCTGACGTCTGCAAACCAATTACGTACCCTCTAAAATGACCTAAATCAGTTAGAAAATTGGGAGTTGGAGTAGGATATGGCATTTTACCTCTCCAAGTGTCAAGTTATCCACGACACAAAAAGGATTAAGTATTTTAAAATATTACAAATAGATCAATTTGAAAATGTTAAAAGAAGGACGAGCACCCAATGGACCAAGCTACATGTAGCACCCCTTAAGCTTCGAAAACTGGAACCCAGACGTATAAAAACTAGGTTATTATTTTTCTACAAGATTCGCAATTGTTGCTTTCCCCATCGAAGAATATATGTGACCACCTATCCCGAACATTACGTCATGACCAGCCCACGTGCTAAAGAAGGTTATTCGCACTAACTTCAGACTATTATAAATTTATAGCATTTTGTTTACTTACAAAATCTTCTAATTATTGAATGTTACATAATTTTTCATTGGCTAATATTTTTCTGCTTCACTGATTTGTATATCACTACGCGTACAGCTTTATATAGTCTTCTCGCGGTTTTTTCCTTACAGTTTTGATAGACACGTCTTTGTTCAGTGAAAATTTGAAATTTTTTCATCGGTCTTTACTGTGGCCATCTTGGATTTGATCTTCATTTTGATTTTAGTTTGAAAATTTGAATTTAAAATGTAACATTTGAAGGAACTATATTTTGCCGATGTGAAGTGTCTTTAGAGGAACACTTTATTCTGTGTTTTTTGAAGAACATTTTGTTATTTTATTTGTTAAATATGGCAGATCGTAAATCTGACAGAAATGAAGATAAAGTCATGAATTACAAAGTGTTACATGAAGATGGAACTAGTTCTCCTTCAATTGTCAAACCTGAAACTATCAAGGTTAAACACCAATCTATTGGTAAAAATACAGGAGCTGAAGTTTCATCAGTACAAAACCCCATCGGGAACCTCTCAGCGGGAAAATTGACAACAAATGTAAATTCCACGACGGATAATTTATTATCGACACCGGTTAAGCCTCCTAGCGATCTTGATGAAGAGTCGGGGAAAACAGAAAAACTGAAATTGATGCATAGGTTGCAGGAATTGGACAAGGTCCAATCTCGTTTACAAGAACGGCGGGAGTTGGAGATATTGAGAAAGCAGGTGCAGGAAAGGGAGAGTTATATCGAAACTTTACAACATTCGTTAGGTGAAGGGAGTTCGGATGGTGCGATAGTTCGACCAAAATCAACGATAGCGTCGGGAAAATCGAAGCCCAAATTGGCAGCAAGCTTCGGTAACCCATCGTCCACTGAGATTTCATCAGAAAAAACAGGTATTAACTCTTTGACTATTGATTCATTGCGACAAATGTCTTCTTTGAAGAAAAAAGCAAAAAAAGAATTGTTGAAATTAGGATTGAACGAATCTTCAAACTCTGACAGTTCTGATTCATATGAATCTCAACCTGTATCCACATCGGAAGATGAAGACATCATTGAAGATAACAAGTCCACCAAAAATTATTTGAAGAAAAGTAAAAAGCATAACCATAATAAAAGATCTGGTATAAATGCAAAATCAAGTGATTATGTTGTGAATGAACAAAGATATCCACATTCAAATTTAAGGTTTGATTTTGTGAGTAAAAATGTCACTTTTGATAATATTGAGTTCAATCTGTTTATTGCTGGAGAACTTGAGATTATTTCTTCTGATATAACAACCAATAAAGAAAGAAAAGGTAGATTAGAGTTGTTGAAAAAATTAATGTATTTAAGTAGTTCTTACGAATTCGTTGCAATCAAGTCTTTATACGCAGCAGTTTTACGTGAGATTGAATTAGGTCACATTGTCTGGGGAGATGATTTCCTGTATGTTGAATCCACTGTTTTATCTAGGTATAGGATTAAAACTAGAAATGTTACAGGGGAATCAGGTCAGTTCAGACCCAGATCAAATTTTAATTTTTCACAGGAAAACTTTCCTTCATCAGATGACACTAGAGTTTGGTTTTGTTCTAAATACCAAAGAAACAAATGTTCACAAAAATCTTCCCATGTAACTGTTATCAAAGGCAAAACTCGTTTCGCAAAGCACATTTGCGCTACTTGTTGGCAAACTGATAAAAAAGAATTAAATCACCCTGAATGTTCAACTGCATGTCCACATGCTTCTTGACAGAACAAAGAAAATTTCATATCTTGTTCCATAGATAAAAAAGAAAATGATGCAGTGAACTTATTTTTACCCAAATTTTGTGTTTTTGAACCTACCAATAAAAATCAAACAAAGTGTTTTTGCCAGCATACAAGAAAATGTTCAGTGTGCATAAATTTTAATCAAGAGTTGGTTACCACTTCCACTGATAAAATTGAAATTCATAAATATGTAAAATCATCAAAATTGTATAATTATGAGGGTTGTCAAATTCCAGTTAACACTAAGATTGATATAGAATTTATGAAAACCATGTTAAATGTTACAGTGATTTATTAGTGTGTGATCTACTTAGATATGGTTTTCCTATTGAATTAGAGTTTGATGATATTAGTCAAGAATCAAGGTTATTAACACCTAGAAATATAAAAAATCATTCAGGCGCGAGAGCTTTTCCTTATCATATTGAAAAATATCTCAAAAAGGAAGCTTCTTACGATGCTATTATAGGTCCGTTTAATAAATGTCCTTTTGAAGAGGGTATGGTTATTTCCCCTTTAAATTCAGTTCCCAAATCAACACCAGGTGAACGTAGAGTTATTCTGGATCTTAGTTTTCCAAAGAATGGCAACAGCATTAACCAATTTGTTTCTAAAGAATTTTATTTAGGAAAAAAGGTTGAATTGATATATCCTAAAATAGATGATTTTATTGCTTTAATAAAGACTAAAGGTCCTGGTTGTTTAATGTACAAATTAGATTTGCATCGGGCTTACAGACAAATAAGTATTTGTCCTTCCAGTTATAACTTCCTAGGTGTTAATAACCTTGATTCTTGACTAATATCGTCAAACTCTAATTCACTTCCTTTCTGTGGACTGTATACCATTGGAACTACACCCTGCAGTTGTCCTATTCCCTACCCCAGAGCAGTTCAGTGCAGTCATTGCTAGTGATGAACATGTCTCACCTTAGTTACCCCGCCCAACCCCTGTTTTTATATTCTTTTACATAACTCTTCTTAACTTTCTTGCGATTTCTGACGCGCAGACATCTCTATTTAGGGTTTTGACATAAAACATGTAAGATTCAAAATCCAGTGAACATTTTCTGATCATCACTCTGACAAACCTGAAGGGATCGAAGCATTTTCTTATACTAATGTGAAATATATAAATATATGTTGATTAATGAACATGTATTTTTTTTTTTGGGGGGGGGGTGTTAAACCCTTTCAAAATGAATAAATCATGTATTTAAGTATTACAGATCACTGATCTATCACTGATAGTATTTTGGATTTCCTCTTATATTACACTGCTCTAGCTAGTACTGTACGTACTATACTAGAGCTACTATTTTTATTCGTGTACAACGATAAGTTTGTCTTAATGCGATTTGTTATCGCATGATAACCGTAGGCCCTATATTTTTCATTTGACACTTGAAATGGTCTTTCGTACAATGTCCCATACAGTAGCCTATATCAACATGCATGCCAGATCTGATTAAGAAAACAGTCCCATTTAGCTATATCACGTGAGCAGGTAAATTATAAGGGTTGTGTGAGGCAGGTTTACTAAATTCAACGGGTAACGATAAGAATTTTATACCTTTGCATTGTTGACTTGCTTTTATCCATTCAATAGATCTAACAAACCGTTTTCACTTTCTAAATATGCGCTTGGCAACCTGCCGTTGTTACTGACGCAAATGAAACCGGAAATTTGTACTTTGTGATCACGTGATTGTCATGTGATGTAAATACACAATATTTGATGACGTTCTTAGCAATAGAAGTATGATTTACCCGATTTTTACAATAAATTGTGAAAACTTTTACAACTTTTCGCTTCGTGCACTTACAACATCAAATTTTACAATATAAAATCGATAATTAATCAAATTCGTTTTAAGTGATATTTTTTCAATAATTTTACACGTAAGTTGTGATGTTATCATATATTTTCGCGATCAAAATCTTTTTTTTTCTGCAGAAAGACAAGGTCATTTTGTATGGGGATCCTTTCTTGCAATTTTTATTTTAGTGTTCCTGCAATTTGTGCAACTTAATTTCAATGCTATAACTTTGCTTTTATAATTCATTGGTCATGTTATGTTCGTTGTCTATAAGCATGTTGAATGCCAGATGTTTCACTCCCAAGACGTTTCAAACCTAGACGTTTCACTCCCACTTTGTCAATTGTATGGACGTTTCACTCCCATTTTTTAGAGATGTTTGGTAGGAAAGTTGAAACATTTATTTTCATTATTAAATAGTGTTAGAGGGAAATTCAATTTTATGATTCATTTTGTTGATTACAATGGTATTGTTAATAAAACTTATTAGAAGGTTACTCATTAAATTATGGGTTGGATGATAAGAGGTTTAAATGAAAGACAAATTTCTGTAATATCACGTTTATTATATAAGAGTAACAACATGAGAAAGTTTTATTTGTAATAAATTAAAAAAGATAATAGAATAACATAGAAAGAACACCAAACTGGCAAAGTCATATTAAAAGTATCAGTTATAAATGTTGAAATCACTACCAGTACAGTAATTACTATTTTTGAAATAATAAAAAATATCAAAATACTGATTATATTGATTATTTTTTTGTAAGTCTAAAACAATGAAATGAGAAACATGTGTATAAAATTAATTATTTGTTTAAATTATTTCTATCAATGTATTAAACAGTAGCCATTAAAGTGACTGACTTTTGACAAACTTAGGTAATTGTGGTGTTAACAATAAACTCATCAGCTATTTAGTTGTATAAACACTGAGACCATCAACTAACAGTGTGACACCACTATTAAATCAGTTGTATAAACACTGCACTTTAGCATCAACGTTTTACTAATCAGTTGTTTATCGGACCATTTAAATATTTTTTGAAACATAAACTTCTCCATAAGTTTTGTTTATATAACAAAAATAAAATAATATATTATTTAATCAGTTAATCAGACATAAATAAATTATATTAGATGATTTGCAGAATGTTAATATTTTAAAATATTAATAAAGAAATATGTAATGCATAGAAATTCACCATTAACAGCTTTAGAGAACTTTTTTTTGTAGTAATTAAATGCAGTTTTTGTTTTCACCTGTTTTTTTTCATTTTATTTCATTTGTTTTCTTTAGAATGGCATCTAGAGCAATATTACGTAGAGTGGTTCAATTAAGTCGGAGACTCCAACTTCAAAGGAGTATTAATCAAAGGAGTATGATGACACTGTCTTACTTGGGCAAGAAAAATGTAGGGCCAGAGCAGAGTTACAGCCAGCTGAAAACATTTTGTACCAAACCAGCTGGGGATGGGATGGTTATTAATATACAGGGAGAAGATGACTTTAAAGAGAGAGTCATCAACAGTCCTCTTCCTGTAGTGGTGGACTTCCATGCAAGGTTATCTTATAGATAAAATTTAAAAGAAATAATTATTATATGATGTCAGTACTTGTATATCATAAATATTTATAAATTTTATATCATGCAAATACATATATTATAACTTATCAGGTTAGTTTAATATTTCATGTTGTTTTTTTTTAAACATAATTGTGTACAAAATATAAGCATCATGAAAGTTTCTGTCCATTAAGAATGGATAAACAGTGTTAGAATGAAGTAAAATGCATTCATTTTTCTCATGACGTAAGTGATTTAGTTCCATTCAGCATTTCTTTAAAAATCTTAACAGTGTTTTTGAGCCTTTGTATGAAAACGACCAACAAAGTTGTTGTTGGTTCTAATATATACAAGTATGATTTGAAATATTGTTTGGATTTTAGTTGGTGTGGTCCTTGTAAGCTGTTAGGGCCAAGATTAGAATCTTTGGTAGGAAGTAAAAAAGGAAAAGTTGTGTTGGCCAAATTGGATGTTGATGATCATGAAGAAATTTGTATAAAGTATCAGGTAAATAAATGCATTAGAATTATTATATAAAATAAATATATTGCATATTTTTTATGAACAATTCAAGCTCTGTCTATAACAAAAATCCCACCCAACATCATCTGGGGATTCAAACTTGCCTCCAAAGGCTTGTGGTTGTCAGAGGATGTATTTATAGTAATGGAGATTAGAAAACATAAATGTGTAACACAACTGTTCGGAAAGCTATCATTGATGGTTACCCTTGTAAACATTACTTCCTGAAGGCAGAGTGGTATACATTTGGCATTGATTGTCTGTCCTTTTGTTTGTCTGCTGCAAAAACACATAGACAATAAGGTGATCTTTTGGACTGATAGGTTAACAGTAAATTCTCTTTGATGCTATTCATTCAGTAATCTACTCTTATATGACTACTTATATATATTGCAATATTTTATACTTGATTTTGTGTACAGCTCACCTAAAAAATTATTTAACTGCACAGATGGATAAGTCTAATTGAGGAAAAGTACATTGCATAAGAACGCATAATTTTGGACTTATTGCCCTTTGTTTTTTTTTAAAACGTACTTAATTTTTGTTTTGCATAACTCAAAAAGTATAGCATGTACTCTTTAGATTTAGAAATGAATAATTTTGGAGTATTAGTCTTTATTCAATGTCAATATGTATATCAACATAAAAACTTTATTATACCCTAGTGTTGACAGAGACAGGACAGAGAGAGACCTAGTTTTAAACAGAAGCAAGTCTTTATTAGTCCCCTACCAGTCATTAGGTTTACCCTCCGTCCGTCTACTGTTTCCTGAGATTACTTTTAAAGAACTTGGAACTTTTCCAACAAATTTACTTAAAATAGAGAAAAGTTGAAACATAAGTTACACATATTCATTCTGAGAAAAATGGATCTTTTGATTATCTGTTGAATAAACATAATTTCCTTACTAGGCAGGGAAACTTGACAGACAAACTAAGAACTCTAAAGATTCCAGTTCATTCATTCATTCAATGGCATAATTGAATGGCCAATGGCCCTTCAGAATGTTGCTGGGGTTCTAACCGGTACATGTCTTAATGTATTTCTTGCAGTGCTATATTTGGTTTAAACATATTTATTTAAGCTCGAGTGTGAAACAAGTTCTTGAAACTTATATTAATCACTTTTGAGTCCGCTTCCAGTAACCAACCAGTACTGGTGTCATATGAAGAAACATGGTCTTGACATGAGTAGGGCTTGAACCAATGATCTCTGGGTGGAGAGGCAGACACCTTAACCACTAGGCCACCACATGATAATTGGTTTTTTACAAAGTGTCAGGTAGCTCAGTTAATTGACTAGCCCCCATCTGATAAATAATTCAGATTGTAATAAAAAGATGTATCTGAAAAAACCCTGCACTGTGTGGGATTCAAAGTTGCACCTCGTACAAACATATACATATAATCATATATAAGTCCACTTGGCCAAAGAATCGTTTCCATGATGTGGTTACCTTAGGTTTATATTTAGTAATCAAGATATGCAACTTATATAATATGAAAATATTGTAATGGAATCCATTTTAGATTGATTTAATAGGCTTTTAGTTTATATAAAACTGAAGTCTTATTGTTAGATATTTAATTGTATTAAATACCTGTTTATTTGTTTATTGTTTTCAGATTAATTCTGTACCAACTGTGATTGGATTTAAGAATCAACAAAGACAAGAAAAATTTATAGGGCTTCAAGATGACGATGTGATTGAAACGTTTCTAGACAAATTAATTGGTTAATGTCATCTTTCAGAAATATTACTAAGAAAAGTTATTATTTTATCTTTCGAATGACATTTGATTTGATTCACTGGTTGCAAGAAAAAAATGTCCACTGATCAATTGAAGTCAGCATATTTGTAGCTGTTTCAGCTTGTTAAGCTATAATGTATATTGAATCTAGACATCATTTCATCCATAATAGTTTAGATGCCTAATGAAGAATGAGGAAGTATTGTAAATGTGATATTGTGTGCGTTATGTTCTTGAATGATGCCGGGTGTTATGTTCTTGAATGATGCCGGGTGTTATATTCTTGAATGATGCCGGGTGTTATATTCTTGAATGATGGCTGATGCTCTCATATTATTACAGATTTGATGTTCTTTTGAGAGACATAGAAAATATTTGTAATATTACAAACAACAGACATATTCACATTTTGTGTCTAAAGAATCTTAAGAGAAAAAACAACATTTCCAACACTAAAACACCAAAAAAATGCCTGTAGTTTATTTATGAGATTCTAACTTCAATATTGCAACCATTCACCCAGGTTAACACAATGATATTAAATTTTTTAGTAAATATAAAATATATCCTAGGATCTTTACTTTAATAGAAGTTGTTATCATTATCATTTATCCTTGTGTATATAATTTTAAAGTATATATTTGTAATACCATATGAAATGTAGGATATATGTTGCTACAATATAATTTTTACTTTTTGTACAAACAACTGCTCATATAATTGTCATAAATTTTATGTTGGTAAAATATCAAAATTACATGGTCAGTTAATGATAATATGAATTTTTTAAATTTAAGTCTTTGTTTTCTGATGCTTTGTCATGTATGGCACCATATTAATTATATTTACACTTGTCAAATGAGTTTTATTACCTTTGTATAAACTACCACACCCTTCTAACAACATAGGAGAATAATCCTATTAGAATCGAAATATATGTTACAAAATACTGTATGAAAGTTGTTTTAATGTAGAACTCCATTTTGTGCAAACTGTGCTTATGATTGCTGTACACTTCCTTGGTATAGACAGTTCTTTTTTATCAATGTCATCTTGCGAATTAGTTAGCGTGAATTATATATACAAACAGAATTGTCTATATAGTCAATATCACTAAATACACATCGTCACTAATCTTACGGTAATGGCTTATATCCATATGGCCTGTGTTAAGATAGACTGGTCCCCTGCTTACTTCTTAGATGAGAACCATAATAGGACAGGGAACCAGGTAAGTGTTTACAACGGTCAAAGTTTGACTATAATATTCATATTTGTAAAAAGTGAAGTTAACAGATAAAATCTTAAAGTGCTTTAGTGAAATAGTACAACATTCACACATTTCTGCACAAAAAAAATCCTATTATTCCTATAAAATGACTGTGTTAAAAACAGTTAATAATGGTCTGTGTCTGGCTCATTAAATCTTGTTGTTATGTTGTTGTTACAGCCAAAAAATACTTAAGAAAAAAAAAGACTTAAATGTTACCGCTGATAATTATTATTAGTATGGAAAATTCATATCTTTTGTTTTCCTCCCTTGTTTTTAAGTTTTTAGTAATGCAAACAAAGAGAAGCAATTAGGCCTAGTCTTATTATTATCTCAAATAAATGTTTGAAGTTTGAACCCATTCCCTCCAGTAGTTTTGGAGACAAAAACTTAACTAAAGTGTAATGTCGCTGTCCTTTGAATAGTCAAGCTAAAAACAACAATAGAATATATATACTGTAAAACATTTTATTCACTATTGGTAAAAATAACAGTATTGCTCTTACAATATATAGTGTATTTAAAAGCATATTATTGCATTGAAAATGTTTATGTAAATGATGTCATAAAAAGTCTTTGGATATACAGTACACAAACTCCTGGCATCTGAATTTATATTTGAATAGACGAGTGGCTTACTTAACCAAACCCAAATCATTAACTACATGTATATTGTAGCAATCAAGTGTCAACTACAAATATTTAATTCTTTGTAGTTTTCTTGAAAAAAAATCAATGAAAAACATTTACATGTGTAACTAAATGTCTGATCTTTTCTTTTAACTTACAGTTAGTTAAATGTTCTCTTATCTCATGAATCAAACAAGGTATATGTCCATAGGACACATCTGCCACCACTTTATCTGCCTGTCACAGTGGAATATTTACATGCTTTTTACAGAAAGGTAAAGTGTTAATATTTATAAGTAATACATAATTATAACAATAGTATAATATCTTTTAAGTTTCAAAAACCAATGTCTTAATGATAAGTTAAGGATTTTACATCAAGTGTCGCTGTGACCTTGACCTAATGACCTTAACATTACTAGGGGTCATCTATAAGACATGAGCAATGTCCATATAAAGTTTCACAGTCAAAGGCTTATTAATCAGATAATGATGGCATATAGTGATTAAATGATCTCAAAATCAGAAGGACTCCTGTACTGGCCATGAGCAATATCTATACTAAGTTAAACAATTTCTAGAGTTTAATAAAGATTTCTACACAAAGTGTCACTGATCTTGACCTTATGACCTAAAAGATATTAAAGGTCATCTAAGGCCCTACAAACTTTCATGAACTACAGATTATACTTTACCGAGAAATGAATCACACAATAATAAAAGGCTGCACAAAGAAAACTTGACATACTACACATGGATGGTCAGGTCACCAAATCACTGTATGCTACTTATACTTCCACAGTGGGGGCATAATAATAAGTTCAGATTCCATTCATTGTGTTAATTACAAAATCAAATTAGCATACATAGTATTAATAGATAAATTGACAAGTTAACAGAGAAAAAAACAAATAGAAACAAGCAATTATCATAGTATTGCAAGCAATCAATAAGTCCCCTACCGGTAAGAGCCCAAGCAACATTCTGAAGGGCCATTGGCCATTCACTTATGTTTCTATTTTAAGGATCACAGTGAACAGTTTTTATGTACAGACAGACAGACAGACTGAAGGACACTCTAAAGTTATTTTTTAAACATCCCTGTTATCAAAATATAACATTTTTAAAGCAAAATTTTAAAAAAGGAGATAACGATGTCATAAATGATGTGAGTGTAACAAAGAACAATTAGTAATGAAGGTATGAATATTGAATGTTTATTTTGAATTTGAAGTAAATGAAAGTTAAAAGAACGAATAGGAAAAATACAAAGTTTAAGGAGGAGATAATTCTGGAAATATGGATGCTAGATTTATAAACCTTGTCATATTATTGTCATATTATTATGATGTGTGAGTTTGAAGAAAATCCTAACATAATTGAAGAAAATTACCAATTTCTCAAAAAAAAGTCAAGTTCAAAAAGGGCATAATTCTGGAAATAGTCTTGCTAGAGTATTGAACTTTTTCACAAATGTTGAGTGATAATAAGAAACATTTATATGAAGTTTGAAGTAGTTCAGAAAAAAAGAAGTTATTAAAAAAAACAATATTTTTTTCATGAAAATTTTAAGTTCCAGGGAGGTAATTCTGATAAATTTTGTGCTAGAGTTGTAAACTTTGTCACATATGATGTGGTTGATGACTAGCAACTTATATTTTAAGTTTGAAGAAAATACCTTAAGAAATAAAGAACTTATAGTGAAAAAACTAGAATCAGAAATCTTGAAATTCAGTCTATTTGTTGCCATAGCAACCAGAATTTTCAATACAGGAAGATAAGAAAAGAATGTGCATAATTTCCATACTGCCATCTACCAATATGTCAAGTTTCATAAAAATATTTTCAGTAATTTTTGCGCTATCACTGGATCCAGGTTATGTGTAAAATTTGCCATATTTTCAGTCTATTTGTTGCCATAGCAACCAGAATTTTCAGCATAGGAAAAAAAGAAAAAGACGTGCATAATCTCCATACTGCCATCTATCCATATATCAAGTTTCATAAAAATATTTTCAGTACTTTTTGCGGTATCGCGGGATCCAGGTTATGTGTAAAATTTGCCATATTTTCAGTCTATTTGTTGCCATAGCAACCAGAATTTTCAACATAGGAAGAAAAGAAAAAGACGTGCATAATCTCCATACTGCCATCTATCCATATATCAAGTTTCATTAAAATATTTTCAGTACTTTTTGCGTTATCGCGGGATCCAGTTTTGTGGACGGACGGACTGACGGACGGACTGACGGACAGACGGACGGAGGGTAAACCTAAAGTCCCCTCCGGTAAACCGGTAGGGGACTAAAAAGAGGATTTCTCAAGTAAATAAACAACCTTTTTTCACAGACTTTATCATGAAGACATGAAAATTTTCTGTAAAGCAGCTGATGTCAGAGCTCTAACAATTATTCTGGTCAGTTTTAAGGTTCACCTTCCAAAGAAATAAATTTTTTATACAAAATCAAGAATAATTTGTTAGCTCTTAATAAATTTCAAAAGACACAAATGCATTATTGAATCCAATAACTTATAAAGTCATGTTATAAAAAAACTAGAAGGGGTTGTTACACAATACAAAGGTACAAATATATAGTTAAAATATAAACAATACTACAAAATAAAACAATTGTAGGAATGTAAAACAAAACCTTCCAAATTAAAACTAAAACTTCTGTAAAGCAATGAAGATTTACAAGTAGATTGGATGGAAAATGTCTGATTAGTGATCAAAATAAAAGCAAGCATTAACAGGCCATGATGTACATAAAACGACTAGAACTTTGTTAATATAATGCATCATTTATCATAATGTAAGACATATCTGATTACTGTTAACCTTGACCCTTTACTGACAGCATCAACATAACAAAATATTAGAGTGAAAGCATGGTACTAAACATTTTAAAATTTGTTGATGATTATGTCAATTTGTATCGAATAAAGGTAAAACAACATAAAGATCTGTGAAGTGTCTCAAAAATGGAAAACAGCTGTAAATTCACATGAATTATTCCTAATTTGCCAGAAAAATATGCCCCTATTCTGACCAATTTTAAATTTAAACATCTCTGATGATGTGTAACTACTGCTCCATGTCTTACAATAGTTACAAAAACTAAGGGTTTATTATTAATCACTAAAAATTTCCTAATAATTGTAACAATGTTTCTAACCTGCAGGAGATAAGATAATAAGTGATGTTAAAACAGTAAAATACAATAATATAATGTATACAGTACAAACATGTGCTATATAAGTTACACGCTACCAACGAGATCTTCATAAACTGATAATGTGATTGCTTATATGCAAAAAATAACACTAAATTTCAACCACTAAATTCAACCAACTTTATTACAGGTTATAATGAAGACTAACACATATATAAAACAAACAACTCCTATAAATGAATATATATTTTACATACTTTCAAGTAAAAGGAATTTTTCTAAGAAAAAAATATCTCCCAAATGGATTTACATCAAAATTTTTACACTCTTAAACCTTTCTTTGACCTTCTCTTGTCCATTTACAGAACATGATTCCCGCTACGGAGATGAAAACATAAGTGATATGTGTCACTTACTTTTTTTTTTCAAAACACATACACTAAAGTACTTTCAAAAGTTTTTCACAAATTTTCATAAACAAACTTGTTAAAATTAGTGATGTAGTACTTTAGATTTTACTTGAATTAATGTCTTATGCTATTAATGTCTTAAATTTTCACAAGCATGTTTTTTTTTTACTTTCAGAGTAAAAAAGTTACATGCTTTTAAATTTGCTAAATACATGTACATCAATTCTTGACATTTATGATACTTATTTGATTGATAAACAATTGAAGCAAGCATATTATAAAGAGTTCACATATATATGCAGTAATATGTAGATGAATTTGTATAACATACTTTCCTAGCTCAATACTAATGGATTACAGGCATGTCAATTATACAGGTCTAATATCTTGACAAATAATTTGAAGACTTGTCAAAAAAAGATTCAAAACAAATAAAAACAAACAAGATATTGCATTTAAAAGCAGCATGCCTCCAGATTCATACTTATTTTAATGAACATTTTGAAAATGTATTAAAAAATAAAGTATTTTCGTTTGAAGAAAGTAATTTACACATTGCAAACAACATTTTTAATCCACACATATTACCAATGAAATGCCAAAATATGTACAAAACAAGAGCGATCAGTAATCACATGTGTCGCCTCATGATGGCCAATTTCATGTTGGGACAAATTTTGTGACAGACGGACAGACAGACGGACAGTGCACAACTAGACTTGGTACTGATCATTCCTGTAAAGTTTGGATAAAATTGCACCAGTAGTTTATGAGGAGTAGTCCGGACAAGCTTTTGCGTATCTGGCAACACACAGAAAAAAACACCTTTTTATCAAAGGGCCATAACTCGGCCAAAAATCATTCAACCGGAAAACCCGTGCAATATGCGCAAGGACTTGAGCTACAGATCAATCCTGTTAGTTTCATTGAAATTGCATTAGTGGTATAAGAGAAGTAGTCCAGACAAACTTTAAAAATAAAAATTATTAAAGGGCCATAACTCAAACAAAAATCATTGAACCGAAAAATGCTGACAATATGCACAACTAGACTTGGTACTGATCATTCCTGTAAAGTTTGGATGAAATTGCACCAGTAGTTTATGAGGAGTAGTCCGGACAAGTTTTGTGACGGACGAACGGACGGACAGACAGACGACGGAGAAGTGATCCCTATATGTCGCCACCACTCCGTAGAGGCGACACAAAAAGGCCCTTACTGCATTAGTCAAACAATAGAAATATGCAAACAGCACATAAAAATCTATGAAATTTACCCAGAAAAAGGTCAAAATATACAAAACTAGCCCTTACTTTGCAAGTCATGCAGTAAAATTATGGTGAAAAATACCGAAAAATCAGTCATTAATTGCATGTAATTTTTTTTAATTTTTACATGAATTGGAAATATTTCTACTTTTGTTCCAATCTTAGAACATTGTTCTTAAGGTTGACTTTCTTGAAATGTTTCAGCTCATCTGGAGGCATGCATCAATTAATGTATGTCATAATAAAGATTTCTCATCACACAGTCTCTGACAAGTAATGTACCACAAAATCATAAAAGGTACAGCTTAAATATTGATATTTCATAAGTTATCAGCACCTTAATATTTAATATCATAAAAAAACATTCCACAAATTTATATCTGAACATTTTTTAACTTCTAGTCTAGTTATGCAGTATTTTAAGTCACTTAGTTTCTATACATATAATTTTGTTAGTTTCTAGCTATCCTGGTATTTTCAATACAATATTTAATAGATCATTAGCCACTTTGACACCTATACTAACCTGAAATAATTCAACTGTCAAACCAGAATTTAAACTGAGGTGATAGGCAGGTTGGCTTATTTTATCACTCAATAAAAAATGACTTTTAAAATATCAAAATGAATGTAAAATTACATATATAAAAATCTATATATTGCAAGCATCTCAATCAGAATTTATCTGCATCAAATTTGATGAAAAAAAAAAGTATTGTCTGAAAAGAAAGCAAAGCCACAAATTGAAGAAAAGAATATTTTGGATGAACTACAAAATGATGAAAAAAGTGAAAGTAAGAACTAAGAAAGCAGTGCTACAAATGTAAGATACTACAACATAATTATGCTGGAATGTGAAAAATACACTCAGATCACCAACATAATATAACAAATAGCAAGTTTACAACCTAATCAAATATAGGTGATAAAACAATATAACAGACAAGTCATGTTATTAGAAAATTCTTATATTAATGACTAGAAACAATAGAGGAGATTTTATAATACACTTGCTCAATCCTGAAATTACCTGAATACATTTATGTAGTGAAAACAATTGAATTTGGTGCACACATTCCTGTGTGCTTTGAGTAAACATGATTTTACTGTTACAATAAATTCGTTGATTTTCACCTTTGAAGTTGGCATGATACTGTTACATGGTATAACTTTTGAAGTTGACATGATATATGCTAATATTCTTATTTGAAGTTGGCATGATATTGCTATATACTGCTATTCTTATTTAGATTACACTGGATTTCATTAAAATGCATTATTTATATCACTATTTTTCCTTAAGTCCTTAGTAAAAATATCTCTATTAGAAAAGATGCAAAATACACCATGTGTCAGAGCATGATACATCCAGGTTATGAACTGTTAGATGATCATTGTTAAAATGTGATCTGACTAAACTGAAAAATAGAAGAAAACAACCGGAACAAGTTAATGATCAAACAAGCATTTTAAACTATCAATGTGACCTTACCCTTTGACATGACTGCATAATAAATAGAGGTCATCTACTGACCATACCAAATTTCAAAAACCTAGGCCTGACCATACCAAATTTCAAAAACCTAGGCCTGACCATACCAAATTTCAAAAACCTAGGCTTATTCCTTCTGGACAAGTATTTTTTACTAGGTGTCACTGCGACCTTGACCAACAGACTTCAAAATCAATAGTGGTCATCATCTGGCCATGACCATATCCCTTTACAAAGTATGAAAACAGCACACTTAATAGTTCCCCATTTATTGCGCAGACATAGATGTGGTTGATGCATGGACGGATGGACAGACATCATACCATTATATGACTGAAGTTACCTTACGGCATACAGAAATACTTCTTAATGAAGAATCTCTGCCTTCAAGAATGGCTTTTATCTTTATCCTCAATATTTTTGATTTGTTAACGGATAACAAACTCATATAACATTCTAGTTACTGTTTTTCAATCAAGAAGACAAAATTTATTGTGATATGTGATTTATCGGATAATTATGTTTAATGAACATAATGTACAGAAATATAATATAATGATTTATTGAAATGGTGTAACATTTAACACCTGGATTTTCACATGTGGGTGAATAGGATGGTCTTTGGTAATATACATTAGGATCAGATGGTTTTAATGCTGGAATACCTAATGTGCCTTTCTGAGCATTAATTTCAAGAACAACCTGGCACCAGAATATAAAAATTAACATTCCATAAGCCAGTAAGATATTTTTTCACAAAGGAGGTAAAGCAAATTTTTGTTTGGTAGTTCTGATGACAAATGAGTTTTCATTATCTACTTCCTAAGTGTACTACAATATTTCAATATTACTTGAGAATTTTTCTAAAAAGACACAGTCATGTATACTTGATGTTTTTAGGTTGAAAAAGATTCCTAGTTGACTTTGTATGTTAACATATTGTAAGAGAGATAACTCTGTAAAATACCTAAGTAGAAGATAGAGGTAACTATAGTAACAGCAAGTAAATGTATGTACATATCCCACATACAAAAACAATTAAAATTTAATGTATTTCACTAACATCAATCATAAACAACAGTCAACTGAATTTAACAAGACATAAATAGTACATTATATACATAATTTGTGTGTATAGAAAAGATATCAACATCTTTTAGTAAATCATATCTCCTGCAACATGACTATCATAGCATGAAAAAATAAGTTAGCTTATCAAATATAACTAATTAGTATCTGTAAAAACGAGAGAGTAACATATGAACGGATACAATTTTCAGATACTTTCAAAATTTTATCATTTAAGTAACCTTTTCTCTTCAGTGGGATACAATTGTTACTGCTTACAAAGATATAAATGAAGGAGCACATATATAATTCCAAAAAATGTTCAGGTTAGGCAAGATACAACAGCATGGAAGGTAAGAAAAGCTGTGTGATGTAAAAAGTCAAAATTTAAATTATTTTTTCAACAGGTGAAAAATGACTGACAGATCTTCGATTGTATAAATTTGTTTACATGATATATGGTGGAAATATCGTAATAAATCGGCGAGGGCTAGTGTCTCCATCTCGACATCTGTGCTTTAATATCGCTGCGTAAATTGTGAGCAAAACATATACCTAATATCTGAAATAGAATAAAACACATACTTAAAATCTGTAATCATTAAAAATTAACACAGCTTCATACAGAACCATAATAAACTAATCATTGGATGGACTTCTGAGATACAAGTTGTCCTTGGGCCTCAACAGGCTTTTACTTGCACAGTGGCTTTTTGGAAAAGAAGCACCTTCTTATGACCAGTCACTTTATTACTTCAACATCTGTTACACACCAGGTTAAAAACAAGAGCTGTCGGTAGGACAGCAACGCTCGACTAATCTTAGTGCTTGATAGTAAAAAAAAAAGTTTGATACAGTAACCTCCTCCTGTTTACAGGTTGGGGTAATGATGGTGAACAAGTGTGCAAAGTTTCAAAGCCATATGTCAATGGACTTTGAAAATATTTGAGGTATTACAAAAACTTTAACGTAAATTCTAAGGCGAAAAAGGGGCATAATTCTGTCAAAATTCTTGATACAGTTACCTCCTCCTGTCTACAGATTTGGGTGATGATGGTGAACAAGTGTGCAAAGTTTCAAAGCCATATGTCAATGGACTTTGAAAATATTTAAGGTATTACAAAAACTTTATCATAAATTCTAAGTTGAAGAAGGGGCATAATTCTGTCAAAATGCTTGATACAGTTATCTCCTCCTGTCTACAGGTTGGGGTCATGATGGTGAACAAGTGTGCAAAGTTTCAAAGCCATATGTCAATGGACTTTGAAAATATTTTAGGTATTATAAAAACTTTAACATAAATTCTAAGTGGTAAAAGGGGCATAATTCTGTCAAAATGCTTGATACAGTTATCTCCTCCTGTCTACAGGTTGGGGTCATGATGGTGAACAAGTGTGCAAAGTTTCAAAGCCATATATTTGAGGAATTACAAAAACTTTAACATAAGTGGTTACGCCGACGCGGACGCAGACGCTCAGGTGACTACAATAGCTCTACTTATTCTTATCAAATAGTCGAGCTAAAAACTTCTACATTGATATATGCAGACAAAGATTTAATAAAAGAAGAATCTGTCACAAATATTATGAACAACCTGGAAATGAATATCACATGCCAAACATTTAGGAAATAATCCTGTCGGGAGGTAATGTATTTCCAAACATATATCAAAGTATGAAATTACTGCATGTCATTATCTATATGCTATAATACATTTTAAATTATAATCTACCTGTAAAACTGCTATACCAACTGCCACTGAAGCCACTGGGATTAAATTCCTGTCAAACCAAGCCTCCCCTTTCGGTATACAACCCTCTGTGTAGATATTCACTGCACGATCTGAATCCTAAATCGAACAGTAAGTATGTGAATATACAAGTATTCATCATATATATAAGCATGTATATTGTCACTTAATGTGACCAAAATATGCACTATTCAAACTTTTATCAAAAAGCCTCAACATCATATTTTCAATTAATTATCTCATAAAATGCATTATATTGTGTTTTTAAAAAGAATATAAACATGGACAAACCAGATCTCAAACCTCTTGGCGCCCAAAAATTATTTTCAATAGAAAAATATCTTAATAAAAATTATTTACAACAGTTACTATTAACTATAATCCTTATTAAACATTACTGTCTAATTTTGCTGAAATTAAACAATTGAAACAACTCCATTTCCATCTTAGAACAGCACAACTCTCTTATGTAAAACTGCCATGTCCTCTTAAAATACAGGACCTAATTCCAAACCTGTTCAAGTATCTCTGAAATCTACTGTTTGGATTAGCCAATGATGTGGTTGTCACATGACTATCACATAACAGCTGCTCCAGTGCCCTTCAGGATGCATGTACATTGTAATTTGTTGTAATTGTTTTAAGATTTCTTTTTGTTTATAACATTCATTTTCACATTAAAATAGTCAATTTACAGGACTTACAAAGGTAATAGCAATTTAGCAAACTAAATAACTAAATAATCCCTTGAGACCATAAACTTTCCATATATACACACATTTTCATTTTCTCATCTTACTTTTGACCTCTGCGACCTTGACAAAAAAGGACTTAAATTGTGTGTGTACAACACTGCCTAACAATGGTAAATATCTGTGACAAGGTATATCAGAATCTCTTAATGCATGCAGAAGTTTTACTCCAAACATGCATTTTTATTTCACCTAGAGACCTGGCTCTGCATGCAGCATACCATCTAACAGCAGTTAACATTTGTATCCAGTAATACTTTACTCCCTTCATGCATGTAGAATATGTGCTCACACCGCCCATCCTTACATGTACAATATATCAATTTCCAAGACAAAGCAAGCATCTAAAATGTGTTAAATTTATCTGCATCATGTGAGAATAAAATATAAAATTAACTTACATGCTCCCTTTTCATCATATCAAACCCACAGTGTCTGTTTATTATAGCCTCCTGTAAAATAAAACAATTATCAGTTTTTAGATAACATATATTATACGAGGACATTCATGATATGCCCCATGAGAACATTTCATGACAAGTATCATCTTATGGTGCTATTTCACAGTCATGGTACAAGAAAACACTATTATCACTAGTAAGCCTTCAAAGAACAGGAAATAAAGGATGCATTCTTCTTGGGATGAATAAAGTTTATAGTGAAATATCTTTGTAACTATATACAGTAACAAAACAGAGGGTTTCTTTTATCAAATAAAGGGAGGTCCTGTATATTTTCTTAGAAACTGTAAAGGGTAACAATCGATTTTAGTGGCAATGTCTTAACACAGTGTTTTACCACAGACCATGCATAGGTATTAATGATATAAACACTTGATTTCTGCAAGACGTTATGTGATAATTGTCCTTGAGGCATTCAGGCATTAACACATTATGGTAAGCAACAACTGAGTTTTAGTCTCACTGGACATTTAAATTCATATGGCAACAGTCAAGTTTTCCTGGTGGAGAAAGACCTCAGGGTCCCACTTGGTTTGAGTGTATAGCAATAATTGATATACTTACACCTTTTTGTTTACAGCAAGAAAAAGGCACACCACAAGCTTCACCACCAGGTGAAGAACAATTGAAATATATATTGTTCTGCCAGTTTGTGTATCCACTCACACCACAACATTGTAACTGAAATATAAAGCACTTACTGAACTTTTCTCTTGTTATTCCTTCTATCAGTCTAAATGTCATTCATATACTAACATAAAGATGATATTTATCATCACAGGTTGTTAAAACGTTGTAGCATGTAGTACATCTTTTTATTTAAGAGCAAAGGGTACAGTCATGTAAAAAACATGACTTTTTCTTTTTTCAAATCCATTTTTAAGACTTCTGCATCAACATATTTTGAAACAATGCCTTATAAAGACTTCAAAAAGTTTAAACTGCATACTATAGAACAAGTTACTGTTTTATAAATGGAAATAAAACAAATGTCTGTTTACATAGCCCAAGACAACATACCCAGTCTTTTTGCACCCAGTCAACAAGATTCTGTAGGTCAGGGTCATCCCTGTAGTTGATGATCATGTTGTTTAACTGACCCTCTATCTGATCTCTAACCTGTTATATATACATGTATATTACTATAACATGTTATCTCAGATAATTACAGCTTATTGTTAATACACAACTTTCTATGACCAGAAACTTTGACGTATTGACTTACTTAAAAATTGTATGCTTGTTTTTTTTAACTTTACGAGTGTTAATTGCAATCATATAACAGCTGAATGGCCTTTCAGAACGAATGGCCTTTCAGAACAAATAACAGCAGTGCTGCAATGACATTTAAATTGTCAAATCCTTTAAAAGAGCAGAAATTTTAACACATCATGTAACAAATAAACTATGAGTCACATTATCATAGTACAATGTAGTATTCTGTTTCTCAAATATCACTTATACTTACCCAATCCTTGTAAACAAATGCCAGTATCCCTATCACCAACTCCAAAGCAAAAATCAACCCCACACATATGCAAAACTAAAATGAAAAAAAAAGTATGAATATAACTGTACATTTCTATACAATAATTTCATAGACCTAAAATGACTCAATAATATTAGACCATCAAATATTATGATACACTGGAACAAAAGGTTAAATTCTTCAATACAAGCAATAATGTTCTTATAAATCATTTAATTGTTACAATTATTCCAGTATAAAATCAGGAGTTTAGAGTGATATTTAACAATGAGATGTTGTAAAGGTTGATGACTTCAAATCATCTGACATTCATCTAAATCTCCAAGGGTTTTTATTTTGTTTCATGTGAAAAAGTCATCCAACTATACTGTAGCTGGCAAGTCAATGGTTTACACTGATGAACTTGCTTTTTCTAAAGTAATGCACATAGAGGCTGGCATCCTAAATCTTCCTCCAACAGATAAAAGCTGGGAAGTCTAAAAACTACTGTATAACTTAGAAAAACTGCATAGTTCATCATCAGTTTTGAATATAATTTGTCTTCAAGATAAAATACATTGATAAGGTTAAACAAGGCCACATAATCCCTGATGTTTTCCTGTAATTACATTTCTAGAACAAACTATTTTGCAGAATTTTATCAACTATTATCTAGCTTTGTGTGCACACCAAAAATACAATTATTAGGAATGAAAAGAAATATATGTACATGTATAAGTCATACATACAAAAAGTAAAAGTGATGTGTTTTCTCTGAGTGCACCCACACAACCTGCAAATCCTATAATAAACATGACACCCCCTGTTATAATAAACAGCATTGCAGGATCTAGTGCTACATTAGTCAGTCTTCCAATATTATTGATTGTATCTTTCTCTGTCCATGCCCACAGCCCTACTGCACACATCGCTGTACCTGTCAACTGAAATAGAAAATAAATGTTTTAACTAAATTTAGGTTGCCATGAGTTTCTCACACTGGTATTGACAAATACACTATACAAGTGTAGAACTCAAGTTTTCTTCAGAAATATGTTTTCCTACATCCAATTCTTTGTAAGGAGTTCAAGTATCTTAGGGATATATACTGTAACTTTAAATAATTAAGACATTGAATGGCATATAAAAAAGTATGTGGGCCAGACATGATTTTGCTGCAAGGTTATGCTGTGACCTTGACCTTCAAGGTAGCGACCCAAATGTGGCCCGCGACACATCGTCTCAAACTGGTGATCACTTCTATGAAACAGTTGTAAAATCCGACTTCAAATAACGAAGTTACGGGCCTGACACGATTTTGCTGCAAGGTCATGCTGAGACCTTGACCTTCAAGGTAGCGACCCAGATGCTGCGCGCAACATGTCAACTCAATATGGTGATCATTTCTGTGAAATAGTTGTAAAATCCGACTTCAAATAACGAAGTTATGGGCCGAACACGATTTTGCTGCGAGGTCATGCTGTGACCTTGACCTTCAAGGTAGCGACCCAAATGTTGCCCGCGACAAGTCGTCTCAAATTGGTGATCACTTCTAAGAAACAGTTGTAAAATCCAACTTCAAATAACGAAATTATAGGCTGGATACGATTTTGCTGCAAGGTCATGCTGTGACCTTGACCTTCAAGTTAGCGACCCAATATTGCGTGTGACACGTTGTCTCAATATGGTGATCATTTCTGTGAAATAGTTTTAAAATCCGACTTCAAATAACAAATTTAGGGCCGGACACGATTTTGCTGCAAGGTCATGCTGTGACCTTGACCTTCAAGGAAGCGACCCGAATGTTGCTCGCGACACGTCGTCTCAATATGGTGATCATTTCTGTGAAAAAGTTGTAAATCCGTCTTCAAATAACGAAGTTATGGGCCGGACACGAATTCGGGACGTAAGTACGGACAGACAGACAGACTGACAGACGGACGACTATAATTATGCTCCCCCGAAATTTTTTCGGGGAGCATAAAAAATTGCCATGGTTGTTAAACAGAAAGGCCATAGCTTTATAGTGCTTCCAGCCAATCTAAAAGCCCAATGGATCCACAAACCTGACAGCAAAAATATACTTTCAAAATCATTTATTAAATAACAATGTCAAAACTTTAGTTAAATTTCCTTTTTTTTTAAAGTTTAATTGCTAATGAAAAAGTTTTCTGAAAAACTGATTTCAAAGAGGGCAAAAATTTCAGTCATTTCCTATATAATCTACTCATAATTATTTGTGCTCAAGTCTTAAGTTGCACATTGAATATTCATAAGGTTGGCTAATCCCTTAATGACAAATCATTGTCATTATACAATTTGTAGATATAAAATCAATTTCTACCATTTTGTTCTAATACAAAATGAAGCTGATTTATAACATTAATACCTAATCTATATTCCTCATCAGTTCTGCTTTAATTGCCTTCAGTAACATAAAGCCATACCAGTGACAGTGATGTTGGATCTCTTATAGTTACTGTCAATATTTACTAACTATGAATTGTATCTTGTTTAATTCACTCCAATCTTGTCAGTTTTTATTTGGTAAAAAAATCAAAGAAAACAACCTTATATACCCAACATGATAGGCTATAAAAGGAAAACAAATATAGAAGGCAAGCTAGTTTAAAAGTCTAGATCAGTGAGATTTTACAAGTTGCAGAGACAGGATGATAGAGCTCTTTGAAAACATGATTATGCTGTGAAAAGAAAATTTATTGATTTCTGTTTTAAATTTATAGAGAAGAAGCAATATTTTGTTCAGTAACATACTAGTACATGTACTCTGACCCTGACTTCATGTCAGTCTGTGACATGACTTAACTTAACTTTCAATACATTATCATGAATATCTTCTAAAATAGCTTGTTCATGACAAAGAAATGTCACAATATTGTTATTTCCGATTTCCTTAATACAAGTTAAGAGCAACATTTCCATATGTTGACAAAAAACTGTTTATCCTAAAAAAAAGCAGTAAGAAGAAACAAACAAAAGAAAAAATCAATATCTGTTTATTGAATCTACATTCAGTTAATCATTAGCAATTGCTAACTAAAGACTCTGTCAAATTTAACAGCAGAGTGTTATCTTGCAAATAGATAAAAGAGCAATTACATAATTATCAATACATTATGCAACTATCCTATGCAAGACTGCATAGTGCATTTGAGACTTTAGTAGAAAAGTTTCCTTCATGAAAGATTTAAATTTTAGATACTCAGATGCCCAGAATCAAATTTAACATAGCTTCATGAAAACTGTGTTTTTCTAACAACAAAGGAACTCCACAGAGGTCCAAAAGCATAGAAACATAAAATTTGAATTTCGTTTATAGATCAATAGGGGCACTTATTAAAACAGAAAGATATGAAAATATAATTAAGAAATAATTAGTTAGAAATAAGTTGAAAATCATTATTGTGTCATCTTTAGCAAGGCATTGCAACGCTTTTCAATTTTGCGTCATTTTGCAAAATTTGAATAATAACATGTATTCCAGAAAGACGGAGTGAGTAAACGATCTGAAATTTTGCACACAAGTGACTGATGTAAACCTTTATCAAATGGAACATTTATCTTGAAAAGTTATTTCCAGTCCCGTCATGTCCAAAAACCTCAGTGGAGTCCCTTTAAACTAAATACTTTTTGACTTAGATTTTACAGACCAGATTCCATAGTCTCTACATGTGTAAGTTCTTAGTAACTTCTTACAAAGAGAATTTTTTGTCACTCTATAAGCTTAGGTACTAAGGTTCCAATAAATATTTGATGACAAGGTTATACCCAGGACTAACATCAATAATCTACTTTTTATACTTACAAACCCTAGATTCTTAAAGCTATCGATATAAAAAATTACTACTGTTAAGTATATATACATAGTACTATCAGCCACCAGCAACTTTAACTCAGGTTAACTTGCATCTTTAACAGTCAAAACTAATGATCTTCTTTAATATTATAATACCTTGCTGTTCAGAAAGTAACATATTATAAATGTCCTCTGTACATTCAAATATGTATTTCACCGAAATCGTATACCACAGGTGCTAGAAACAAACTTTTTGTATGTTCTATATGGGCTATATACTGTAACAAGATATACATATAACATAATTTTATATAGGCCGATTTATGTAAAATATTTGATTATGTGACTAGTGCCAGTGCCTTATACTTGACTTCTTGGACATTTAACTGTTTTTGTAACATATGACTGCCAAAGAACTGCCATGAACCCTTTTTACTTCAGGCAAACTTCTCTTTTATTTTGCAAATATCAAACTTAAATCACTATAACACATCTCATATTCAGGATTTCAAACCCACTTGATTTCTGAACAAGTGAAGGGCAGAAATTAAAAAAATGCCTTGATAAAGGTTGATTTTTATGCACATCTTTTTTATACTGAATGTACTTTCTTCAACAACTAGAAAGAAAGCACTTTCCAATGCTGTTACCTAATTTGTAAGAATTCCATATCTTTTCTCAACTGATTGTTCAGATTGTCCCAGATAAAAACTCTCCTATGTAATTTTCTTCTTTTTAATATCTTTAAATATCTTTTCTTGGTCAAAATTAGGTTTACAGCTTTGGTTATGCATTTTCTCCTTTTAAGGATAGGCAAGCAGTTCCAATATCTCAAGAAATGCCTCGTCATAGTGAACAAATCAATAAATTCCGATCATATACAAACTGTAGGTACATGTACTCGTATTTAAAACAGAAACAGTTTAAAATTGCATGGCATCAGACATCAGAAGTAAAATCAATAATTGTAACAACTCTACTGGGAGCTAGAACAATTAAGATATGTTTTAACACTGTGATTTAAAGAACAGGAAAATTGCTAAGTGCATTGTTAAAAGTTACTAATGACTTTACCAAATATAGATTCTAATAGCAGTTCATTGAGCTGTATACAGGTATAACATGAAACTGTAAACAAGCTTATTATCCTAGAATTTATGGATGAAGCTGAAACTTTTATCTTTACTAGATAAAACAGCAGCTTCAAACACTGAATATTATGAAAGCATCCAGATACAAAATTTTAATATTCTATAAAATATATGTTTTCCCTATTAGAAACTATAACAGTCTAATAGACTCAGTTACTTCTAAATAGGGTTTAGAAAGCCTAATTAAGACTTCACAAAGTCCATAATATGGGCTTACAAACTCATAATTTGAAGTTATAAAATCTTAATAAAATCTTAAATAAGTAACAAACTCCTTATTTGGAGTAAAAACAAAGCCTAATTTTTAAATCCTAATTAATTTTGTAAATCCTAATCATTATTAATAACTCCTAATAAGTCTTAATTAGAAGCTACCAAGTTCTAATTAGGAGCTTAGAATGTTCTTATTAGGTTGTTCTAACTCTTAATTTAAATAAAATGATAAAAGTCCTAATAAGACTTTTACTTCTAATTGGGGATTTATATTAAGTCCTCACTGGCAGTAACTTTGTAAAAATAGAGTTACCTACTAACTTAATAAAAATAGGGTAACTTAATAAAAATAGGGTAACTTAATAAAAATAAGAAGTTTGTAAAGTTTAAAATCCTAATTAAGAGTAACATAGTCCTTATTCACCGAGTCCAATCGTTCACTATGTTTCCCAGGCGGAGAACGCATGAAGAGATCAATTTTACAGGTGGAAAACCGATACTGTGGTAAGAAAGTTGTCTTCAATTTCTTTGAAAATGCATATTTCACAAAACTTTATAGCCTATTCTGATCTCGTATGATTACTTTATCCGACAGGCATCTCAAACTCGCCAAATCTTTGTTAACTTATTAGATCATTATCGACAACTGCACAAGAAAAGTCACAAAATTGGTAAAATCGCTCTTTGATAGCCAAAAACTTGACATCCAAGCAAACTTCTAAACATTTGTATCGCTCTAAAGATTCTTTATTAACATATCCTT